AGGAGTCTCATGAGGCCTCGGCAGCATTAGCCTCATTTTACAAATTCATAGGAACCTGAGAATAGCCCCAGTGGGGCATGTACTTGACACTGTACCAAAAAAGGGTGTAGCTAAGTGGCCAGAGTAAAGGGGCCAATATTTACTTATTTGCTTCAATTCCATAATCTGTAAAATGGGAATAAGGATTGCTATGACAAAAGAATAAAAAAGGAGCACAGTGGCCTTTACACATTGGATGTAGGGTAGATGTCTATGACACCATCTCCAAAGTTTATGCAATATCGGAGTTGAAGATGCAACATCCACAACTCTCAATTGGCGCCACTTCTCCCGTCCCAATAGCCCATATTGCTTTTTCATGTTTAAGAGCTGCCATCCTTACTTTGCTTGTTTTGACCAACCCATCCTCTCAACATCCAGATTGGGTTATGCCATTGGCATGGCAGGTGGTGCAGCAGCTCTGTAGCAGTAGGAGACCATGAGAAAGCAGGACATTGCTCAATGATGCAAGGAGGATAAGTGAGGGGGAGATCTTAAGGCTTGCTGCAGTGTCAGGAAGCAAATGGAGGCCAGTGCACAGGACTAAATTTGCCAGGCGAGATTACGGGTCAAGCATGTCCAAGCTGAGTTGTGATAGTGACATTATCATGGCAGCACCAAGCACAGGTGCAACATTTAAGATCCGTTTTCTGGATTGCTTCTTAATGGACTTGGATTAAATGGGACACAGCAGTTAAGAAGGCTCATCTAGCTCAGCGCTCTAAGGAGCTCTCAAACATTAGAACATGCTCACAGCCAGTGCTGGGCAAACCAGCAGACACCCAGTCCTATGTTGCTGTAAAGCAGTTTTACTCCAGTTCCCCTTCACATTTTATTTTTTTTTAGAACAAGGATGAAGAAGCTGCAGAACCTGTTATGCAGACTCTTAACTCCAACCAGCCTGTATTCTGCCAGCTCTAGGGATGCTGTGACCAAGCACTAGGTCTTGAGCTGCCACAGTACATTGAACAGGGCTGTGGCTGACAGTCCTGGAGCAGGACAGCCCAAAGCTTTCAAATCTGCACCCAAAAGAGCTAGGTTGGTTACTAGGAAATGAAGATTTTGGCTGGTGTGGTTTTCTATGCTTTGGTCTTTCACACAATACTGAGCTAGATGAACTATTGTTGTTGTTTAGTCGTTCAGTTGTGTCTTGACTTGAACTATAGGATAGTTTTAACCAGAGTTTTGCAGGAACACATTTCTTTCTGCACCTTACACCTGCAGGCACCTCAATACAAGGCTGTCACTTCTAACAGATGGCAGCATAAGGTGGGAGATGGGAGATGGTTTAGTTTCTGTGCTAGGAAACTCAGGAAAGCAATAACTCCAGCTCCTGCTGGGCCACTGGGTGGTTAAGACATTCTACATACATGGGAGCCAAGCACAGCTGAAAAGGTGGCCCATGATGCTGAATATAGTATGTGGTGAAGGTGCAGAAATCTAGTGCTGAAGCTCACATAAAGTGATTGAACGGGGCAGGGGGGTAAGACGGGTTGTGGTCAAGTCCAAGCAGGGCTGTAGAAGCATGCACAGCAATGCACAGCTGCCCCTTGCCTCCTGTATTTCCATCTTCCCTCCTTTCTCTTCACCAAACCTGGAACTCACAAAGTCAGACAAGACAAGTTATATAGCAAAAATGTTTAATCTCTCCTTGATGCGCGTGTTTATTTACAAGTACTAAATCTGAAGAACATTAAAATAGGAAATAGCAGGATATTTACACAATCAAAGGGTGCCGACCTGCCACACTGGCACAGTTGCTTCAAGTCTGAAACAATCACATAAAGTTTTCATCATTTTATTTTTATTTTTTTATTTTACTATTAAAATTCTTTGTTTCTTATTGTTTTCTCTGCTCCACCCCTCCCATGCCAACCCCCTTCCCCTTTACTTAAAGGACAGCTAACTGTGGACTTGACATTCCTTTGAAAGAAGAGAGAGTGGCAGGCCTTACAAGGCTTGTACGTGTTTTAAACACATTTTCCGGGGGGGGGGGATTAATAGTGCTCCATTAAAAAAAGCTGCAATGGGGGCAGGGCAGGGGAAGGTCTTGCTCACCATCCTGACAAATGCACCAGCCATTTCTTTAGACTATCCCTAAACTGTTAAGAGTCCAAGGAACTGGGGATGTCACTAACATAGAGTTTAAGAAATAAAGAAAACACCAGACACTTATTAGCTGGCTCAAACCATTTTCTCAGAAGAGCTGTGTATTTTTGAAACCAGATTATTTGACATTTCCATTGAGATACCCTCTAAAACTAAGCCTTCAATAGCTGACGTGTTCCTTCAGTCCCTATTCCTAGCGTATCCTGTCCTCAGATAGCACCAGTGTTTGAGGGCACAGGGTGGCAGTGGTAGGGGGCTGAGGGAGCAGGGGTTGTATGATTAAGCATTTTTAACAATGGATAGAGGAACGTGAAAGTAGCACCTGAAAAAGAGAAGGTACATTTCACATGCACCGTTTCTCAGGGAATACTTAAAAGTATTCTTGTGGGGAAGCTGGTAATATGTGGGTTGGATGAGGTAGCTGTTAGGTGGATTTGTAGCTGGTTGACTGACCCAACTCAAAGAGTGCTTACTAATAGTTCCTAATCAACCTGGAAAAGACTGGCGTGAGGTGCCACAGAGTTCTTTATAAATTACTTAGATGAAAGAATTTAGGGCAGGGGTCAGCAAGCTTTTTCAGCAGGGGGCCGGTCCACTGTCCCTCAGACCTTGTGGGGGGCCAGGCTATATATTTTTTTGGGGGGGGGATGATACCAGAGCACCACGAGCCCCGGTGGCTGCTTACCTGTGTCTGGCAAGTGGCAGGGGCTGGCGGCGGTGGAGGGACGATGAACAGTGCGCGAAAGGGCTCCAGAGAGGGGCTGCTTAAAATGGTGGCCGCTTGAGCACTGCTGCTGCTGGCACCAACAAAGCCCAGCCTCCTCTATGCAGGGCAGGGAGAAGCCAGAAGGAGGGAGGGAGGAGGCGCCGCCATGTGAGGGAGAAGGAGGGAAAGAACGATCTATGTGGTGATTCCCAGACCGTCCGCGGGCCGGATCCAGAAGGCAATTGGGCCTGATCCAGCCCGTGGACCTAAGTTTGCCTACCCATGATTTAGGGGACACTCATCAAATTTGCACATGACACAAAACTGCGACAAGTAGCTAATGCCACAGAAGACAGAATCGGGATTCAAAATGACTTTAACAGATTAGAGAGCCAGGCCCAAACTAACATGTAAGGTTCTACACTTAGGTAGGAAGAACCAGCTGCACAAATATAAGATGAGGAACACCTGGCTTGCCAGTAGTACATCTGAAAAGGATCTAGGGGTCTTAGTAGAGGACAAGTTTAACATGCTTCCAACTCTATGGGTCAACAGTGTGATGCAGCAGCAAAAAAAGCTACTGCTAGTCTAGGCTGCATCAACAAAAGTATTGTGTTCAGATTAAGGGAAGTAATAGTACGCTTTGTTCTGCCTTGGCCAGACCACACCTGGAGTACTGTGTCCCGTTCTGGGCACCACAGTTTAAGGATTCTGACAAGCTGGAATGTGTGCAGAGGAGGGTGACCAAGATGATCAAGGGTCTGGAAGCTAAGTCTTAGAGGAATGGTTGAGGGAGCTATGCATGTTTAGCCTAGAAAAGAGGAGATTGAGAGGAAATATGATAGCCATCCTCAAATATCTAAATGGCTGTCACATGGAAGATGTTTCCTCCTGCCCTGGAGGGTAGGACAAGAAAGGAGATTCCAACTAAACATAACGGAAAAACTTTCTGACGGTAAGAGCTGTTTGACAGTGGATCTGACTCCCTTGGAAGGTGGTGGACTCTCCTTCATTGGAGATTTTTAAGCAGATGTTGAATGACCATCTGTCATGGATGCTTTAGTTGAGATTCTTGCATTGTAGAGGTTGAACTAGAACTAGATGACCCAACTCTACGATTCTATGAGTCATGGAGACCTTATTTAGAAGTAACTAATACACTGAATAGTGGCATTGTGGGGAAGGGATCTCACATAATGTTGGTGGGAATGGATTGGTGATGCTTGGATGAAAACCAGAGAAAATTATGAAGCTATAAAGGTGGCAAACCTTTTTTTTTTTTAAGAAAAACATAAGTCACCTGCTCCTGACTGCAATTGCTCTTAGAAATCCTTTGCCACACGAATGTCACTATGGCAAAGCAGAAAATGTCAACCTATTCAGCTGGCCCTATGCCAGTACAGCTGTAACAAAAATATATCTGGTTGGCAGATTGTTCCAAATCAGCCAAGCCTTTCCCCTGTAACCGCCTTACCACTTTATATCCCTGCCCTTTTGTTTTTGAAGAATTTCTTTTTCTGCTGCAATTCATGCCAGATCAATAATTAGTGAACATAAGATAAGTTATGCTCTCCTCTCCCAAAGTGTTAATGGCTTATAGGTTTTGCTTTTCAGGTGATCGTCTGAGCATCAAAATGCATAGCAAAAGAGTTTAGTGCCAATGGCATGATTGCACATCATATTCAAAGTCCTGCAGAAGTCGGAAACGTCAGGAGATTTGACATTGCCATGGAAGTCCCCAGGTGTGTCTTTGCATGGATAGATGTGGATGTGTACAACCCAATGAAGAGTAACATACGGGTTTGCTTCCATGCTACAACCCTTAAGCACTGCTCAGGCACTGTATTTAGCTGGAAGCTAAACTAAAACAAGAGGTTAGTGTTAACGTTATCTGTCAGTGTCTTTCTGTGCACCCCCCCATCCTTCCTTAATGTTTGCTCCTATGTAAAGCCTATTTAGCAAAGGGTCACAGCAACATTAATTAAGAGTTTTATCTTTGCCTGCTTTATTGCTTCTGGATGAGTTCAGATAGGAAAATTAGTGATTAATGGTTTATTAACTGCCCCAATTTCAATTGTGTATGTGATTCTATTGGTGATTTCCACTATGGGAAGGAAAATGATGAGAGGAAGTCACTGCTGATTGTCCCCCCTCCCCCAATAAATAAATAAATAACTAGATAAAAGGCAATTAAGCAATTATTCATCACTAATGCTCCAGCCATGATCAAGAGAAAGATATGAAATGGGCAAGATCTGCAAACAAGATAAAACTTAAATTAAGGGCACAGGAACTCCCAACAACATTTTGCCTAGCCCTGCAGTACAGGCTGGTGATCCAACTGCATTTCATTACCCAAATTTTTGCCATGAATCAGTATGGCGGTGGGGGGGGGGGGACAGGACAAGACAGGAAAGACCAGAATGCAGTGATTTAAGAACGATGCTGTCTGAATGTTCCATAACGAGCAAATGCACAAAGGAAGGCGATTCCAGAGAAAGTGGCTAATATGGAAGCAACTAAGATTAAAACTGCCCAAGAAAGAAAGAAAAAAGATCCTCTAGGTGTGAGCCAGATTGCAAATCTTTTTAACACAGTGAACGAGTGTCTGCTGACAAAAAAAATAAAAAAAATCATGTTGATTTCAGTGGAATTGCAGGCACTGGGGTGAGAAAGAAGATGAAAATTTGGACTCGCTGCTTGTCTGCTATCTGCTTTGTCTCTGCTCACCGCCTTGGGGAGATGCCACTGAGTTTCTCTTCTGCCCCAGGCATTGTCTGCAAAGTCACTGGCTTGGTTTCTGCGGCAGAATTGTGACTGGCGAAGGCAGTGCCAGAGGGAAAGGAAGCCCAACTCTGCGTGGTGTGCTCACCATGAAGTTGTTAAAGTAAGTGCCACACTTTTAAGAAGTGCTTTACTTTTAGTGGGGGGGGGAGGTGCCAGTATACACTTGAATACCCCCAGAAAAAACCCCACTGAGCCTTGCCATCTTGGTGCTTGCATGCGTGCCCCTTATGCTGCTGCTGCTGAGATTCCACTGGGATTCTGTACAAAAGATTAAATACGAACTGTCCAGAAAGCTTGCAGCCTGACAGACTGAATCACAAACTTTATCAACCTGACGTATTTGCACAGGAGCTGATTTAGCTGTTGCTTTCCAGTTATTTCAGCTGGCGGTCTGTCCACTGTGCAGAGAGTCTGGACACAGGGAAAGTATTCCTCCACTCCACAAACATCCCTAGTGGCAAGTTAAATATCTACAATTCTACTAAGCGTTAGGCTAATAACTCTTTCCCCCACCCCTCTGCTGCCATGGCCCACATGGAGATGACTTGGTTCACTGAAGGCTAGGAACTGGGAAGATAGGATGCAATTAGCCAGGTCTTTCTAAAGGCCAGTCCTGAAGACTGAACAAACCAACTCGCATTCTGCAGGCCCTTCAAATTAAGCCAACTTCTAATGCACTTTGTTGAGTTTTTATCGGCAAAGATAAAAGTTGTTCACTTGAGGTAACCCACTGAATACTATTTTTATAGTGAAGTCTCCCAATATGTTATTGCTGAGATACCTGGATAAGTGAGTGGCTCTATGGTATATGGCATTTTCCAGTCAAACGTTTGCTCTCTATGCAATCAACAGAGGGGGATTTTGTCATTTGCTTCTAAAAAGTCAGGATGGCACTTTAGTTTTTCATAAAATGGTGCTGACTTACATCAAGCCAAAAGATCGAGCCTCTATCTCTTTTAAGTGTCAATCATGTAATGATTTATGCTTCCAAGTACACTTGAAGCAAAGTCCAAGGAGGGGAAACCTGTAAAATATTACAGTATCTTTTGCGTGTAGAAACACTTAGCTGTCCTTTAAGGCTTCTGAGTACCATTTTTTCCAGAAATAAACAGTTAATTCTTTTTTTTTTTCTTATACAAGAAGTGGCAAATTAATTCCAAAATTTCAAAAATAAAAAGGTCTAAACAAACCTCTAGTATTCAACACTTGCATTTTTTTTCTTTTAAAAAAAGTTCAACTCAGACTAAACTCTAGCACAGTCATGCAACAGCCCACAGGTCCTATGGATCCAGAGAGATCTCAGGAATCCCTAGGTGTTTTTCCATTATATTTTTATTGTCGTCTTGTCTTCTTCTCTTCCTCCTCTTTAATTAAAAATAATTAAAAAGGATAAAAACAAAATTACAAAGCAATCTGAGATGTATATAGGCTTCAAATGATTGTTCTGCTTGATGAGAAATGTTTGAAATTTTATCCATTTGGTATTTTCCACTGGTTGTGTAAAAACCGTATGTGATACTGGTTTGAGCTCTTTCTGTTAACTATACAGTGCCCCACTGGGGCACAAGAATTAGATTGTAACAACATATATATATATACACGCACACACACACATTTTAAATTTTAATTAAAAACTTCATTACATCCCCTCTCCTCCCCTTATTTGCACTCTCAGGGAATGGGTAGGATCAGGCTTGGTATGTTCTGCAATAGCCTCTCTCTCAACTTCAACCTAGACTTGAGATAGCAACTGAGTTTATTGGTACTGGGTGGGTGGGTGGGTGGGTGAAGGCTGAAAATTTGGTGGGTTTGGTCACCTGAGTTGAATTAGGGCAGTGGCTTCATCACACTGGTAAACTTTTAAAGATAATTAAAGGCATTACATTTGTCAGGAACTGAATCGAGGGGATTAAAATTCTTAGGGTCAGAACAGTGAATGGAATGATGTAGAGATAATGAAAAAGAGAGGAGCAAAGGGAAACAGATTTTAGCAAGAGTTCAGGAGCTTGTTTCTCTCACATACTGTGGTTTAGGCTGGATATGGGATGTATTGGTTCTTTGTTAGGGTTGGACCAGAAAACTCAGACCCAATGGGCATTTCAGGACCTTCAGAAATGCTTTGCTCAGTGTGCAGGATTGTTATTTATTATTTTTTTAAAAATTATTTATTTCAGTGAATTGATTAACTGCCCTTTGGTACAAGACATCCAGGCCAGTGTGAAATTAAAATTATGGAGTGCCAACATGCACTTTGTAGGCCATAGACCCAAACCCTAGTTCAACTAGGGACAGTCTTTCTTGCCTACACTCACATAGCTTCATTGCTCTTTAGGTGTAGAATGAGAATAATGCAGGGGTGGTGGGATGCAGAATAAACAGTTGCCTCCTAAATTTGCAAACCTAACTAATAAGTAAAATGCTCCTTTCCGATAGCACATAATTCACATTTCAAAGATGGGGCTACTGAATTCCAGGGATGGGAGTTGTTTCAGTTTGAAAATGAGGACACCTTCTGACTCTCAAGGAGTGAGCAGACACAAAACCAAGGTACATACAACATCTCCTCCAAACAGTGCTGGATGTCTTGGGAAACACCATGGCAGCAACACAGGAACCTTTGCCTTGAATTGGACTGGAAATACCTGGTCACAACCTGGGCAACATGGCAGTAACTAACGGCACCTGGGTCTTCTTCTGCAGACCTCTCTGCTCTGGCCCAATAGGGACACCTGTTCCTTCTGGCCTCCTACACTGCAGTTTGCTAACCAGGAGAAGCCCAAAGCCAGCCAGGAACCAGGTGCATAGAGGAAAGAGGAGGCAGACTTTGGGTTGAACCAAGTAGCAGAGAATAGAAAGCAGAACTCAGTTGCAGGAATTACCCCTCTTGTAATGCTAACATCAGATTGGAATGAATGAATGCTCTGCTCTCCCCACTAAGATCATTATTCCCTGCTCTCTGGAGCAGTCCATAGCCAAAGCAAGCTATGGAGACTATCACACATGATCTAATGATTCCTGCACAAAAGTAATAATGTAATAATTAAGTAATAATGAAGTGCGTTGGACTAGATGGCACTTGGAGTCTTCCAACTCTACAATTCCACAAAACTCATTTCTTATCTGCACTCTCTCACCCTCTTCTAATTGGCCTAACCAGAAGCAAATCCGCTGGTGCAGCTGCTTATTCCAACAGAGGGGAATTACAAGACTGTTGGGAGTTTGGGTCTTCATTGCTACCAAAACAAAAAGAGAAGCTCTGCATTTTGCTGAAGAACTTGGGATGAGGAATAAATAAAATATTCTAAAGTGGTGCGTGTACACACTTACACACCTGAAAAAACTAAAGGGGCACCCCACTTAAATATAATGTTTCTGTCAGTGCTAAACTGCAGCTCCATGTTCCTCATCTCTTAGCATGAAGTCTGACCTCATGATTTCTCTGAATAGACCCGGTGTTGCCATGGCCTGTCGGAAATGGAGACAACACAGAAGAAGCATCTATTCATAGGCTTCCTGCATGACCCAGACCCTACCAAGTCTGACTGCATCTGTTACTAAGATGCCTTTCCTCTACAACGGAAGAGGGAAATACTGAGAGTTGGTTCAAACAGCCACCCCCATTCACTGTGCCTATGCAGTGGCAATACGTGGCAGTGCCCCTCTGTCTAAATGCCCCATGAGTGGGAATTGTACAGATGAGGGCAGCTGGGGGCGGGCTACTCTGGGGCAGCTGGGGCAATGAGAACTTTTGAAAGTTGCTAAACTCCGCTTACAAACAGCTAGCCCTGTCTTAATTTATAAAAAGTCAAAGCAGGGACTTTTCTCAAAAGTGTGCCACTTTCCACAAAGGAATTCATGAAAAGATCTCTCTGCAGGGGTTTGCCATGCATGGCCCACCCTCCTTTTTGCAAGTTCCTTGCCCTCTGGGTACCTTAAACCTTCGGCACCCGCATAAGCAGCATTCAAAACAAGAGCATCAATTTGGCCTGTGCTAAATGTTATTAAAATAAATAAAATATGGCACAGGACAAAGTGCAGGAAGAATCAAAGATAGAGGGGCTCTTCTCTTGGACTCCACGCACCCCCACTTCTATCCCAAGCAAGCAATGCTCCTTTCTTTTTGTTGAAAAAAAAATTTAAAAAAAATCCTGCAATGTTTTGTTTAAAATTTAGAACCTCCCCACACTCATATATTTTAAATCTTTTTCAAAAACAAAAACAAAAACAAAACCTAGCTTGTGGAAATTGTGCAAATATAGCAGTTAACACTAGAGGAAGAAGGCCAGAGAGTATGGAAGAGAAGGTAGAGAGTGGAGCTGTCCAGGCAAGGCGGGAAAGGAAGGAAGTACAGGGAGAAGGGGCGGGGAATTGTAAGCCTACCAAACCGCCTGCCATGGGGGGAAAAACCATAATGTAAAAAGGTTGTCCTAGACGTTAGTGCAGTCCCCAACCTTCCATTGCCAAATCTGGAGCAGGCCTTGGTGGGAGCCGGAGAAGGGAGGCAGTGGCAGCTGAGCAGGGATTTGTCTCACTGGCCCTCCTTGCACATCTCCTGGGGTCCTTCAGGTTCTTTGCTACGTCACTCCTTCCAAAAGGTCTTTAAGATAGGCTCCGTTTGCTTTTGAGAACGGCGGTCTTACGTTGTTGTTGTTTTGCTGTTCATTGTGTGTAAAGTGTTCTGAGACGCAGCAGATTCTGTGCATTGTTTGGTGCCAGGCCCCAATGTATTCCTTGATTGCTTTCTTGCTGCCGCGACTCACTTGCCGCTCTCTCTCTCCCTTAAGAGTCCACTGCCAGGGAAGTCTGCAGCACCATCTCGACCTTTTCAGCTACTTAGGGCCATTGTGTCAATTGCCTGCTCCAACTTACTCCGCAGCCGTTGCCTTCGGGCCTGTTCGTCCTTCTCTAAAGCAGCTAAAATCTGGCAAGGGGAAAGACGTGTAGATGAAATCATTAGTAAAGGAAGACTCTGGGGTAATTTGAAACATGCTTCACACCAGTGGTAGTCTAGAAAGAAAAGCCAGGAGAGATTCCCCACCAAACACTCCAAAACCCCTCTTTTAATGATGAAGAAATATGGGACGGCCATTCTCTTGACCGTCACAACTAGGAGAGGCTGCTAAAAATGGCAGCAACTCAACAGTGCATCAGCAAGTGTGTTGAACCATTCTAGCGGCTGAGCAAGGAGGAGCAATCGCCATCCTGCCAGGGTTGCAGCCTGCCACACACTATCCCCAATCACCCTGCAACAAGGTTACAGCTGTCTAGCGTGGCTAGTGAGCTGAAGTGGCTGTCCTTTCCTCCCGCTCCCATGTGAGTGTGTGAGAAAGAGACAAAAGAGTCAGAGGGCACATTGAAGACAATGCTTAATTGCCCATCTATCTTCCTTCCTGTATTTTGCAAGAAGCATGTATGGAGTCTGGCTAGCAGCAGATCTGCAAAAATACTTTTGCAGATCTGCTAGGACTCCTCACACATATGATGTCCGGCAACCAGAGCAAGGGATATTGACAGGTGGCCCAATACTTCCCCTGCAGAAACCTGGTAGTCCAGTAATATCTGGGGGGCCACAGGTTGCTCAGCCCTTCTTAATTCAGAGTATAGGAGAACTTTCCCGCAATGGCATGATCTGGGACTTTTCTGATGGTCCTGGGGACAAGGAAACACTGGGGACATTTATGAAATCGGCATCTTTAATTATGTAATAACTAAACCTAGTCCACTTTCTAGTTCTGTTCTCACAATCAGATGAGAATCACTAGATCAGTCTTTGGATGTAATCCAGGAAATCTTGAAAAACTCTGCATCTTCAGGCACTCAGACTATATGACCTGAGAGATAATCAGGGATGTTGTGAACAGGGCTTTGGATTCTGAGGGGGGGGAGGATGGGATTTGGCAGGAAAGCAGCTAGTGAAAGGGGCTGAGATAGTGAGGGGATGGTGGGATTTTTCTACAAAAAGGAGAGAGAGGTGCCCATCATCAGCAGTCCATTGAGCCAAGTCCCACGCCCTTTAAATTGCGCTGCCAGATAAAGAACAGATGATTAAAATGCAAACCCATCAGAAATCCCATTATAGTGGCTAAGTTTGTTGTGAGTGCAAGGTGGATTTCTCTTTCCAATTAAATGTCAAAGCATCCATCAAAGGGGACTTGATTAACCATTTCATTGGCTGCATAATTGGAAATAAACTCTTGTATAATTAATAGACTGACTATTAGGAGGCAGGAAAGGTCCATCACAAGCCCTACAGGTAATTCCTTAATATGGAAATCAGCTCCTTTTGATTAAGAGCAGCTGTGGCGCCCTACAGGTCTCCAGCGCTAAACGTGCAGAACGTGCTGTGGAGAGTACACAGCGCTGCAGCTCAGGACCTTGCGGATGATGAAACACTTAAAAGCTCAGTGCAGATTCTATGAAGGTGATTTGCCACATAGTTAGCGAATGCATGAAGAATCCTAAGAGTTGGGAAAGAGGGTAAAGCAGCTCAACTTCATTCCCTAGGGGAGGATAACTACTGTTAGCTTCCCATGGGAAATGTGATTCCACCACCTCCTCAGTACAAAAACTGAGCCTGCTGCAATTCTGCATGGGGATAACCAAGACCTGCATTGGGACATATGGAAGGACCCCAATACTCCATCCAGAGCACAGAAAATGCCAATCACAGTGATTTCTAGGTGGCCAAGCTCTGAATGCAAATGACACGTTAATCTGGCAGAAATAAAAAAGATGAAATTATTAAGGGTACTGGAGCTACTGAGTGACTAGGAACAGGAGTTCTATTCATGGTTCGTGAATCCCTTTCTCTCTTGATTCAAGAAAGACTCACTACATTCTGAAAGATTTACAACCTGCTTTGTATTTGTTTGATCTTCTGTTATTGTGTTGCCCTTCTGGGAGCAGCACAGTAAAGAGGAAAACTACAGGGAGCATAAGAAGAGAGCGGGAGATGCATGTCTGTCACCTGTTTTAAGGAGCTGGGACCACCGTGATTAGGAAGATGCAAAAACCCAAATGAAAATTAATTATGATTTTCATTCAGTGCCAATGACAGCATATTATAGCACTGAACAACAGGAAAAATTATTCTCTCCCATTTCACATCAAAGAGGGTGCAATCGGGCTGCATGTAATTGTGTTTAATGAATGAAAACAAACAAAGGGAACAGCTGCTATTTATTAATCCCATTACAAATAATAAAAGAAGTTCCTGGGAGCTGTGAACACACAAGCAGTGCTTTTAGAGCGGGCTATGGGTGCACATCCAGCAGATGCCAGGCAGCGGTTAACTGGGAAAGACAAGGAATGGCAACTCACCCTGCATTCAGCTCATTAAGATCACGCTTTCCAAACACGTAGTGCTTGCCTTGTTATTGATTTCTGCTTTTAAGGCCTTGCTTATTTGTAATACTAATGAAAGGGAATGTTGGGAGCTGGAGACCAGCCCCGGGGCAGGCAGTTGCTATGAAAATGTCTCTAGGAACAGCTGGAGGAGGGGGGTCACCTCTGGTTTCAGCTTTGTGGTGGATTTTGGTCTAAGGCAGATGGCTAGGATCTTGCTAAGAAGCCCTGCAACTGTGCAGGATGCTAAGGCACTGTTAGTGTTAGCTATTTCCTAGTATGGGGACCATCCTTATTGCCTAGAAGTAGATACTCGTGCCTACTCATACAGGAAAGACCTGCTGTAGGGATTCTTGGCTTACAACAGGGAGGTCTGCGCCTGAGGCCACAGCAACTTTTCAAATTTAAATCAAGGTATTGTAAAATAAAAAACTGCTTACAGTTTAATATGCAAAGAAAAAAAGCAACAACGAGACTCTGTGTGTCATTTCATATACACACAGCTCTCCTGTTGGCAGACTGGCAAAGGGTCTGCCAGTCTTCTCCTTGAGCAGATCTGTTATGAAGCACCTTTTGCTGTCTCAACAAATGTGCTCCATAGCTTTGAAGCCCTTAGAATCATAGAATTGCAGAGTTGGAAGGGACCCCTCTGAGGGTCATCTAGGCCAGTGTTTCCCAACCTTTTTTGGGCAAAGGCACACTTGTTTCATGAAAAAAATCTCGAGGCACACCACCATTACAGCCCCGTGACGTCAGCGCGCAGCGTCACGCCGGGAGGGACATGAATTGCTAGCAAATTACATAATCACCTCCTTGAGGGCTGGCTCATCTTCTCCGAAGGCAGAACCCCATTAATTAACAGCACAGACTCACACCATAGCCAAGACGAGAGGGGAAAACCTCAGTCATGCACAGTCATGCACATGTGGGGGCTAAATGAGGACGAAGACCGGGCAGAGAGCAGGGTTCAAATCACCCCACCTGGCCAGGACAATCCCTGGGTGCTCCCTTGGGCCACTCGCCTGACCCACCTCGCAGGGCTGTTGTTGCGAGGATAACACGGGGAGAACCACGCGCGCCCCCGGGAGCTCCTTGGAGGAGAAAGCGGGCGATGAATGCAATGCACGAAATATATGAGAGGCGACCAGGTTTTGCAGGTGAGGGGCCCCCGCCAGCCTCCGCTTCCAACACCCGGTGCAACGACGCCGAAGTTTCCCCCCGGGCTTGGCTCGGGGAGCAGCGCTGCTCCCCCCCCGGCTCCCCTTCGCCCTCCCGGCTCTCTCTGCCGCCCACTGGGGACCCCCCTCACCTGCCAAGTCCGGAGCGCCGGTGGAAGTTGCATGCATGCATGCAGGGCGCCGCGTTGCCATTGCATTGCACTGCACTCCATGCAACGCCTGCACGCATGCATTGCCTTGCACGCCGGCCAAGGGGTCTCCCCGCGGTCCGATGCGTCCCCTCCGGCGCGGATGCAGCATTGCAAAAATAAAAACCCCCCGACGCAGCCCTACCTGGGGGGCAGCCTCTGCCGCTCCGCCTCCGCGGGGATCCCCGGGCTCCATCCTGCCGCCCGATCTCCGCGGGGGCGCAGGCAGGCTGCGCGGGGTCTGCGCGGAAGAGCCCCTGCCCGCCCGGCTGCCGCCGCTGCGCTCATTCCATGGCCGGGAGAAGAGCGCTTCAAACAAAACGCCCGGCCCGCCAGGCCACGCTGGGAAACGTAGTTCGCGCACCCCGCGCGGGCGCGGAGCCCAAGGGGACTACGGATCCCGGCAGCCCCCGCGCCGGGGACGGAGGGGGAGAGGCCGGGTGCAGGGATGGAGGGACGGGTGGGCGAGCGAGTGAGTGAGTGGCAGCCGCCAAGCCTTGGCCGAGAGCCAGGAAGGGCCTCCCCGGAGGAGGAGGAGGGAGGCGCAGAGCGGGAGGGAGGGAGGGAACCCCAGGGGTCATCTAGTGACGGCGCCCCAATCGAAAATTTGACTTTAAAAAAAAAAAATCTTTCAATTTTTTAATTTTTCCCGCGGCACACCAGGCAACATCTCGCGGCACACTAGTGTGCCGCGGAACAGTGGTTGGGAAACACTGATCTAGGCCAATCCCCTGCAATGCAGGAATCTCAAGCATCCATGAGAGATGGCCATCCAACCTCTGCTGAAAGCAGGTTGCAGAAGAGGGAGCTGGGCTGGAGGGCAGAACACCAGCACAACATCCCATCTTGGCAGGAACTCTGCAATGGAAATGTAGAGAATATCCAAAGCAACCCTAAGTCTCTGCTCATGAAACATGTATGTATCTTCTGCACCAGGCAGGTGGCCACACGTGGATCTTGTGTACGAAGGAACGACCACAACTACATTATTGTTCAGTTTTCGCTGACAGGCAGCATTTAGTCCAGCTGCCCAGCACTAATCTGCTGTCACTCAGAAATAATGCTTTGTCAATTTCTTTAGTGTGCAAACAACTACTTCATGGCTTGAGACAGACAAGACAACTGATATGGGTGTTTATGCCTGTTCTACTGAGCTGCAGTAACTTGAGCCTCAACCTGCTTTCCAAATGCCTTGCACCCTATCTAATTCTTCATTAATGCAGTCGGTTAGATCCACCTCTTTGTGTTGTAACCTTTGCCCCTTCCCACGATAACTCCCTCTCTCTCCCCACCTTCTATCCACTTATGAACGTAAGAAACTGTGGGGCCACTCACCAGCTCTTGGAAGAACCTCCTTGCCCAGAGTAGTTTGGCAAACTCTTCTACAAAGGCTTTTATTGCTTTACACAAGCCACTATCCCCCCCCCCACTCCCCCAGGTCTCATTGTCGTTCAGCCGGGCAATAAAATCCATGTGATCCTATTACATATATTTTTATTAGTGTTATATATTTTATTGCTTTAATAAAGGATTGCAGGGAATGTGTTCACAGAAAAGTACTTTATGGAGTTTATACCAATTACGGCAGATGGGCTTTTAACCACTCCTTAAAACTTAAGAGGCTGGCTGAAGTGACTTCATGGCAAACATTCCCCCCCCCCTCCTGGGATTGCAAATTAGGATACCATTGGAGACTACCCAGCATAGGGATAACTGAAAACAGTCAAGTGACATGCTAAGAGAGTGTTTTCCTCTGCTGTACTTCTGCATGTTCCTGTAGTTTAAGTTGGTGATTGAATGGCAAAGGGCAAGCGGGATTTTCTCTCTTTTCTTTTGTTACTTTATTTGTTTATTTATTTATTTATTTAATTAATTAATTATATGCTTTCCCACTGTGTGATTTAGTCTCCTCTTTTGTATTTACCTGCTATATATTTGCTAACACAGTTGTGATGCTTACCATTTATTATTTATTTATTTATTTATTTATTTTTATTATTATTTTCCTGGTTGGGAGGGGGGAATGAAGGTTAAAGTTGGCCTGTTTGTTTACCTTGAGCAGTTTGGACAGTTGCACGGGGGAAGAGGGGAGGAACGGGGAAGAAAGGTGGAAACATGAGTATATAATAGCTTGCTGGATCCTGACAGGAACACCTGAGGACAAAGCTGCACATCACAAGAGAAGCACAGTGTTCCCACCTTGGCGCACTAACACAGGGGGTTAAGGGGCTTCAATGGAGGAAAAGGAGTGGGCTGGAGTGTGGAGGTTTATCTGTACTCCAGCCACAGTTATCCCTTTCATGTACTCCACCGCCAGTCAGCTTTTAACTCCCCCACCCCCCCAAAAAAATCTGAGCTCCAAAATAAATAAGCAAGTCTAGTTTGCAGGGCAGAGAGGCCTCAGAAGAGGTTGGTGGGTATACAGAGCAGACCAGCCTTATGGAAAGAGGTCATCGACTCCTCTCCCTCCCACTGATCCTCCCCTACTGCTTCCCCTTACCTCATCCTTGTACTTGGTGATATATGAGTAGATCTCATGCAGCGCGCTCATACTGTTGAACTGGCTCAGGTGTAACCGGGACTGCTCTGCCAGGTAGGCGCTCATGTCTTGGTCGCTGATTGCTGGCATTTTAGCAATATCTGCATAATATCTAGAGCAGGGAGCAGGAGAGACAGAAAGTCAGAAGGAAAACCTTTTCTGAAGACAAATCTAGGGACATCCAGAAGGAGAACAAGTGATTTGTTGTAACAAAGCAAAATATTAAACTGAAACAACTGAGTACAGTATACTATGCGAAGCAAATTAAACAGTTTTCTACTCCTGTGCCAAATTACTCATAGAATCTCAGAATTGTAGAGCTGGAAGAGACCACTAGGGTCATCTAGTCCAACCCCCTGCAATGCAGGAATCTTTTGCCCAACATGGGGCTCGAGAATAAGAGTCTCATGCTCCTTTGGATTTCCTATTGCACAGTCACACTGTGACAACAGGGCTCCTTATGGAGGAAATTCAATCCACCCATCAATAAACTGAAAGCAGACCGCTACTGGAGTACAGAAAACCTTTGTGTAACTTCAACCACAATAGGTTGGTTAGTTGAGAAGTTCATGGTAATCAGTTGAGTTTGTGGCAAATTAGGAAGTGTTAGGAGCATGTAAAATGGGTATTTGGAGGGATCAGAGGAATGCCCAGACCTTGTAAGCATCAAAGACAGATATAGAGTGAATATTCAGTCAACAGCAGACAGCTGGGAAAGATACACAAGGCTGTCCACAGACAAGCCATTGCCAATGCCACCATAACAGCATAATAGAGAATCCACAATGATACCTTAGTGAGAACTAGTGTGGTGTAATGGATAGACTTCTAGATTAGGACCAGAAAGACCAGGTTTCAGTTACTCAGCCCTGGCCAGCTCTCTCCCTCTTTCTCAGCCGTATAATCACTTCATTTTAAAAAAGGATTTGTACAGCACCTTTTAAGGTCTACTCACTGGAACATGCAAGTTAAAATGCAATGCAATCACAATATTAAAAATCAGCAGGAATGAAAAAAACACCTCTCCAGCTAAATCCAATACCAAGTGCAATCCAGAACCATCAGGAATACTATGAAACAGCTATAGCAAACAATACAAGCAAAAGCCAGTGAAAACAAATAGGTCTTTAAGGCTTTCTTTAAACACCTGTAACCATGAGGGCCAATGGACACCTGCCAGCTACCACAAAAAAAGGCCCTTTCCCTTGAGCCTGCCAACACAAGAGCTCTCAGAGGTGGGCAAGTCAGAAGTCTCTCCACTGACAATCTTAATGTGTGGGTGGATTAGTGTTTCACAGGACTGTTTTGAAGTTTAAAAAGGTAGAGGAAGGAAGAACCATTCATGCTGTCCTGAGTCCATGGAAGGAGAACACAATAAAAAATGAATTTTTTCATCAGTTGAGGGGAATCAAGTTAGGCGATTCACTGGAGAGCCAGTGTGGTGCAGTGGTTAAGAGCGGTAGTCTCGTAATCTGGGGAACCGGGTTCGCGTCTCCGCTCCTCCACATGCAGCTGCTGGGTGACCTTGGGCCAGTCACACTTCTTTGAAGTCTCTCAGCCCCACTCACCTCACAGAGTGTTTGTTGTGGGGGAGGAAGGGAAAGGAGAATGTTAACCGCTTTGAGACTCCTTAAAGGAAGTGAAAGGCGGGATATCAAATCCAAACTCTTCTTCTTCTAGGCCAATCAGGAGTCCTAATGTGGCCCACAAGGCTATTTCCCTCAAACCATAGCCACCTCCCACACACCTGACACGGCTGCAAAGGAACAATCAGGAACCTTAAAGTGTGCTTCTGAATGTTCCTTGGCAAGTAAGGCTTGCTGTCAGCACTTATCAGAGGCAACAGCAAGTCCTCCAGGGATCTGTTGCACTACTCTGCAGTGCAGCCAATCATTGCTTTTGGCAGGAATCTTCCTTTGCTGCTTTGCTTCAGATCAAGCTAGGCCGAGAAGGGAGAAAGGAAAGAATCAGCAGCACACTTAGACTGCACGCCTGGGTCTTTCCTCTGACGTACATTCAGCTGATGTCATGGTGATGTCAGGTAACTAACAGGCTGACACCCTTACCCACCTGTCAAAATGGCCTGAGGGGAATAGGGGAGCTCAGGATCCAGCCCATCAACCAGATATTGTCCCCCACTCCCCCCCCCCCCGATATAATCATCTATGCTTGATGCATATACCCTTGGGAACATGGAGGCAACATGGATATAAACTGAGGGGAGGGATATTTGTTGATGCAGTTCTTGGCAGTAACAGCTGGTAGTGAAGCAGCTGCTTGCTATGGAGGGCTCTATGCAATTCCAAAAAATTCTGTTGGGCTTTGCTCTGTTGTTGCAGACAGAAATTGAACAGCACACCTGGGATGGGCGCTTCTCTGAGGTGGGCTCTGTGGAGCAGGTGAGCAGTGGAGGGGGGAAATTTCTGGTGTATGTACCTTTAAAAATATTTTTTTATTATATTTATTAGAAATTTGACCAAATTGCTCTCACTTTGATACAGAGGCACAGAAGAGAAAGGGGACCACTGTGCATGATGGCAGTCAAAAGTTTCTGCCTATGTATTTGTCACACAGTAGTATGAATAAGTAGAAATAATTCTGAATGCAATGTCCTTTGCCTTTCTCAATCAGAAATATGAAGCATTAATATAGTTTGAATTAAAAGCTGTGGCGCAGCTGGGATAATTGAAGAACATCGTTGCATCCTCAAGAAACCAACAAAAGTGGAGCAATGCTGTGTCAGGCATCTGGTCAGGAGCAAATGGCAACATACTGCCTCTGGGAGGTGAAGATCAAAGGCCTCCCCTATCCTTTGGCCACAATCTCTGCCAAGGGATGATGTTAAGATGCTTACAAGGGCACTTTCCTACCCAAAACCACAGATACATTTGGAGTGCAAAGGAGGCAGACATCTGGAGACACCAGTGACAAGGATTTCCCCTCATCTTCTCAAAGTGGCCGTGCGGTTCACTGCTTCAAGCAGTGCTGGACCCATCCTTGAAGCTGCTGAGGGTGCTCAATTCAATGCATCATACCTGTAAGCTTCCTTTTCATCTTTCTTAAGCTAAGACATCTTCCATCCATCCACATCACAACTGGCCCAGAAAGGTGAAGTCACTACACTCACTCCTCAGGTCCCCAGAAAACTTATAAACAAATTGACAACGCCACACTACCACCCCAAATCCTCTAGACATGCTGTGAAGAACAACAGGTCTGGGGAAATTAAAATGCTGCTAGAACTTCTTTTTTAAGTGAAGTACAGCGTCCAGCAAAAAAGGAGGAAGGAGCTTCTTTGAGCAAACCTACTTAACAGTGTCCCGTTCATTTCTTACACATTTTCCATGGGGGCCTATGAGCTCAAGGAAACTGCTTCTCGTGCTGCAAACAGCCTTTTGGGAAGAACTAAGGCTTCAACCCCATTTTCACAGCATGTTCCTCTGTCGGTTTCCCCCCTTTGTCAGCTGGGGTAGAAAAATGTCATGGTTTTGCTTGGTATATCAATATGGTGGTGATGGTAGCAACAGACAGGTCTTTCACAGAATTGAGTACCTCCAGTGAATTCCACTCTTTCTTCTTGTGTAACTCATTTTCAGTTGGAAAACTTTTTGTGGGGCAGGGAAAAGAATTTGTTAACAAGACAAACATGCCTGGAAAAGTGAACCAGAACCTTCTTGGTAAAATCTATGAACTGCAAAACCTTCCTTCATCTTACCCAATATGACATGCTTGCACTTTAAAAAAAAAAAATTAGGATTGCAAGCTCCTTTGGCTAGAGATTTTGCTCTGCTCCTTTCCCTACGTATCACACTGGCAGCAGTTTCATTACAAACGGCTGCCTCCATTATTCCCCCCAATGTGCTTTATTTATTAGTCATTGGGGACTGAGAGCAATTGTCCTCGCTTTGAAAAACCAACCAACCTGTCTTTTCCAATTGGCTAGGAAGATTTCTTCACCCTCCAGTCCCGGGAGGTTCTTTCATACACATGTGCAGGTCTGCCAGGCTCTCCAGCCATTCAGAGCACACATTACAAAAGCAACTCTTCTTACACAGCTGCATCTTGCAAGGCCCCCCATGGTTGAAGCCACTCACCTTTCTACCCAGCTCTTATAGTTGGGGATGTCCTTGGCGTACAGTAGTTTATTGGAGGGAGAGTCTTTCCCTAGCTTGTGCTCAGAAGTTGAGCAGGAGTCCATGAATGTCTGAGCCACCACTGATAGGCAGGCATCAGTAATACTGTTCTTGTGAATGTCAAACACAAACTGGGGGTTCTTAATCACATTCACCCAAAAGCGCAGAGGTAGACTGCAAAGGAAAAGAAAGGAGGAAAGTCAGGCTGGGGAAACACATTATTTGGTAACTAAAAACAGGACCCTGGCTGGCAATAACCTTTGGCTAGTCAGGATCCCAGAAAACAGGGCAGATATTCTCTCTTAATCTCCTTAGATGGTAGTGATTTGGAAATGTGGTTTCCTAGCTCTTCTGCCCCTTTCTGCCACTTGCTCCAGACCCATCCCAACCCAGAATTCATGTTTCTCTTGACTGGGTCTTCAAAATCCATGCTGTACTCCTATTTCCTTCCCCCTGAAATTCACAGCTGCTGGGGAAGCTCAAGCAATCTCTCTCTGAGAGAGAACCAAGTTTCAGACCCCTGCCGACACACTGAGATTTCTGGGGATACCCCCTCTCGTAATTCCTCACAGCTTCTGAGCCTCGTTCTAGCTAGGAGAGATTCCTACACATAGAAAGGGAGAAGGCTAATCCAAATTCATTCTCCCTGGCATCTCATTTTCTATATGGAATGATTTTTGTGTGTGCATCGAACAGTATTCCATGATCTGGACCCTCAGCTGCAGTCTGAAGTGGTATAGCCCAGGCACACAGGTATACCACCTCAGGCACAGGTTCCCATGAATACATTTGACTCAAACACCAAATGTTTGGCTCCATAGTATTCTTATCATGTGAGTGCTGGGCACACATGCACATTTTAATTTCAGGAAATGATCTCAAGAAATGAACTCTGCACATTGAATTATCACCCTGGAATAAGCATGGTCATTAGTATGCAGGGGCCTGCCTCCCTGGACTCTGTTGAATTGGAAACCAGGCTTCATTGGGATTCTTCCCTCTCTCCCTCCTCTCCCCTCCCAACACACCGACTCTTCCTTTATTACAGAAAGCATAGCAATAAATCAGTTCCAAGCGTTTCCATGCTCTCATATCACCATTTAAAAATGTTTCTTTTTCAGCCTGGCTAATTACTGACAGTTACTGAACTATACAAAAGCAATTTGGACTTCCATTTAACAAATGCCAGAGATGAGAGTGTATGTTCTTGTCCCCTGAAATGGTTAAGAGGATCTGAGAGATGAAATCAGCAGAAGGGAAGAACGCAGTGGGGAGACATGAAACCTTGCATGTAGCAGAGGGCTTGTCGCATCTCACCACTCGCTGAGCACCCAAATCCCCCTGTGCTCTAGTATGAATGGATAGGAAGACATAATTTGGCTCTCTAGTGCTATGCTTGCTGCTGGTGCTAACTTTCCTACCATATTTTTAACTAATTATGATGGTGAAGTTTGCTCCAATCTTTAGCTATGATGGTTATATAAGCTTACATTCAATTTGCACTGATCCAGGGCAGTGTGCCCAACTCCCTTGCACTGGCTTTGATAGGCCAGCAGAAAGTGATCTAGCAGAAACTGTTTGAATGCATATTGGAAGCTTCACCTACCCTAGGAAAAAGTGGGATTTAAGTACAGTGGTACCTCGGGTTACGTATCCCTCTGGATACGTACTCTTCAGGTTGCGAACACGGTAAACCCGGAGTGTATACTTGCGGGTTTCACCGTGTGCATGCACATAAGCACTCAATCACGCCGCGTGCGTGCGTAGAAGGGCGCTTCCATTTTACAGACTTTTCAGGATACTGCCAGGCCTCCGGAATGGATCCCATCCGTAACCGGAGGTACCACTGTGCATTCATTTTCCAATAGCTCAGCATTGTTTACACCAAGGTTGGGAATCCTTTCAATCCCAAAGGCCACATTTCCTTGTTGCCACTCCCCTAAAGGCCACATGCCAGCAATGGGCAGGGCTGAATTAGGCAGGCCCAGAGTTGCATATAGTATCTGATTCTACACTGAGTGGCAGGAGCTCTCCAGGGTTGCAGACCACCTCACCTGAAGACTCCCTTCTGCATGCACAGCTTGCGTTCTACAACCAAGCTGTGGGCCCTACTTACCAATTACTCTTCCAAGTGTGCCTGACATCGTAGTCATTGATCTGGTGCTTATCAGCTTGTTCGTCCAGGAAATCAAACATGTACTTGATGGCGAGAGGCAAGGCACTCCCTCGGTGGGCGGTGCTGAATATGGTCTCAAAGAGGTCGTCAACAAACTTCTGCAAGGTTCCCTGGATGTAGAAAAATAGTGGCAATGGAATGAAGGCATAGTCTGCTTGGAAGGCATAAAGATCCCATTGAGATTATAAGAAGAAAAGTTATGCCCTGAAATGACACTGGCATTGCCAGTGAAAGCCACAGAAATGTACAGGGTTTTGTTGGATTTTGCAGGGCATCCCAGGCTGTGTTACAGAAGTGATCTCATCTCTTCACAACATGCATAGACAAAGCAGATGAGGTGACACCTGTTCTTTGGCCTACTCTACTAGTAAGACTGAAGCATCAAGGAAGGCTGTTTTACATAGTAAAAAGCAAGGAATCTAAGCACTCTGCCATGTGTGTTTCATCTGCAATTCAGAAGTAGGCTTAGCCATAGCAGACTGTCATAGAGTGCAACCATTTTCCCATGGGGGCACCAGATGATACCCTCTTAGTATCCATCCATTAGGGGGCACTTGTTTGCATTGTCAGTCACTTATGAATCTTGAATTTAAAAATCCCCTTCTGATGGTAAGACTTATTGTATAGGCAGAGAAAGGAATTTGGTTATAACCCTGATCTTTTGAGAGTTCCAGGTCACTGTGTGTTAGCCACAAGTTCATTCATGTTCAGTGGAATGCTATACTTGGCTTGCTGAAGGTTTTAAGTTCTTACAAGGATAGACAAACACATAGCTACTGAAGTATGAAATACATTCAATACATGAAGCTACAGTGGTACCTTGGTTCTTAAACAGCTTTGTTGACAAACAAATCGGCTCCCGAACGCCAAAAACCCGGAAGTAAGTGTTCCAGTTTCCAAAGGTTTCTCGGAAGCTGAATGCCCGACGCCACTTCTGCTTGAGTGCAGGAAGCTCCTGTAGCCAATCAGAAGCTGTGCCTTCGTTTTTTAACGGTTTTGGGAGTCGAACGGACTTCCGGAATGGATTAAGTTCAAGAACCAAGGTTCTACTGTATAATACACCTGAACCTCCCAGGACTGTGTTGAAATTGCAGAGTTAAGCAGCAGTGATTAGTGCTGAGCTTAAGTTTTTCACATAAGACTATGATAGAAATCCATGACAAGCTTCATGAAAAGCACGCCCATTTTCATCTTTTTTTAGTTTTCTTTGGCTGTTTGAAGCTAGATGGCACATGCTGAGCCAGCTGACAACCCACCTAATCCATCCTAATGATGATTGTCAAGGTGGTCTGTGGCAGACACCACTATTAATTTTTATCTCAGAATGCACTTTACATTGGGGGCATTTTGGGAAAAGAAATGTGGCAGCTGGTGGCTTGCTACAGCATTGAGAACTCTGGCAATTTTGTGCCCATCCTCCAAAATATTCCTTCACACTCCTCTGAAAATTGCAGGAATTAGCCTGTTCCCCACCTGCTCTTGGAGGAATGTTTTTGATTCAGGATGAGCAGCAACACACAGCAGCCAACCTCCAGTGAGAAAATAAATAGCTATGGTAGATTATTACAATTTATTATTTGGTCTGGGAATAAAGTAGGAGAGAGAGAGATTCGGCTGTGCCATTTGCATGCCAGCTCCTGCAATTAATGTGGCTTTCTCCAGTTCTCAGAACTTGACAATATTATTTTTGTTTGCTTTTGTACAAATCTTATATTATTGACCATTTGATTTACATCAGAAACCAGGGCAGCAATTACACAGTGTGAGTAGCCATTGGACTTTTACAGCTCCCTTGCCTCGGCTTTTGCTGATGCAGAGTGCTGATAAAATGAGGGCGTCTATCAAGCATATGAACAATGAGCACAGGGGAAATCAGTGATTGTAGCAACCGGAGGCTGGGATTCAGTTTTGCTTCGTCAACAGCTAGGATGCAAAACTAGTCTTTGCAGCTGGGTGTTTGGGGTTTTTTCCCTTTTTCCTTTTGGCCAAATGTAACTGGGGCCAGAAATGCTCCATAGGTAGGTGAAGAGTTTAAAAGAATGAAGCCAGGTCCCTCTGCATATATTGAGAGGCAGAAGAACCTGGGCCCATGACTATCACCAGGCCAAGTGGGCTGATTAGGATTACCAGTGGCCCGGAAAAATAAAGAAAGGGGTTTAAAAATCCCATCTAGGGGTTGTCTTTGTATTTAAAGCATGACACTGGGCTGGGCTGGAGGGAGTACCTTGAAGATTGAAACTGGCTTGTCTGTCTGATTGCCTGATCATCTGTCACTCAAGCCAAAACACACTCTTTTCCTATCTTTTTGCTTATTCCTTGCGGTCAGAAGTTGTGTAAGGAATTCAAGGAATGGAGCAGGTGAACAGAGACAGAAATTCTAAGACAACAGCAGCAGTGCTATCACAGAAGCCCAAGAGCTAGTGGTGAAGCCAATGTAGGGAACTTCTGCTCATGTCCTCTGATTTTTGGGTGTGTATAAGTGTGGTTTGGTTTAGTTTTGCTGGCTTGCTGGTTTTACTAGAGCTAGGTATGTATGAGTGGGCTGGGCAAGAAAGGTGCATCATCCTTCTTGCAAAATGTTACATATGCCGTTAGCATGTGCAGGGAGCAGATCACTCTGGGACAGCAAGGAATCTAGAGTAAGCATTGGCTATCACCCATCTCGTGATAATGGGCCCAGAGGCTGATAATGTATGCTGTGGGGAAGGGATAAGTTTCTCTAAAGAACCTTGGATTTCAATTGCTGCTGCAGTGCTATTATCATTAGAATCTCTTGCGATGCAACTGCAGCAGTGAGAACTCTAAACCCTTAAGTGTTTGGTGTTAAGCAGATGAGAGGTCAGAAAGCATCGCAAATGGAATAATAAGTTGTCTCCATATACTCTCTGCTGATTTATAACAGCAAGACTGAAGAGGGCAGAAACTTGACAGCATGGCAGGATGAAAGACCCACCAGATTCTGTGTGTGACTTGGCAGTCTGAACATCTACTCAAACTTTAGAACACATCTAGGTAGAGCCTTCCTTCCTTCCGATTTACCTTGGTGGCTAGCAGGCGGGTCAAGTAGATTTCTGAGACCATCTTGCTGCCACGGTCACCTTCTCGCTGGTCCATGTGATCGTGATTCTTCACCAGGTGCCACAGCTTGGTGCCGCTCTCCAGGTCAGGAGTGATCATGGGGGTCCGGGAACGAAGGCTGTCAGGGCTGCTGGCTGTCCGGAGCATACTCTCTGTGAGGAAACCACATGCAATGGGAACCGCCTCTCCCTCCTTCGCTGCCTTCCAGCCTCAGCTGTCCTCCCTCCACCTCACTTAGTTTGCAGCAAGGCCTGTCACACCACCAAGAGTATATGATTCGTGTTGGGCTACCCTTTAGAACCAGGCAACAAAAGTTCATAGGCTGGGTGGCTCTATTAACCAAGAAATCATTGGACTTCTTTCTTTCTTTCTTTCTTTTTTTACTGCAAGCAGTGGGCGAAAGCTGCTAAAACCTAAGGCCAGCTCATGCTGTTGGCAGGTTCTCTCCAGTCCTAGCCTGCCCAAATACATGTTCTATCAAATGCATGAGACATCAACCTGGTGTGCCATTCATATAAGATACTTCTGAAGGACCCCTGGGATCTCTGAGGAGGAAAGGCAGGCTATAAATATGGTTAGACAGACAGACAGGCATCTTTTTCTGCTCTGCTAGTTTTAACTGGCTGCTTTTGCATTTTAAAGGGGGAAGATGAAAGGAAACTCTTTCTTCAAACACACTGGGTTGTATCCAATGCTGTGCACAGGAAGTTCTGCTCAAATCAAAACACTTCTTAAACAAATGTTAAAGAGCTGTAGTTCTCCCCCCACCACACCCTTTCTGCAACAAAGTGCTAACTTAAGGGTGTGTCACAATAGATACCTTACTTATCCTCATCAACTAACATGGAACTTTATTCTTGCCAGGGACTTTAACTGAGAGACCCTGACGAAAAATACAAGTTTCGCAGAAGTAATTACACAGGATATGACGAGTCAACAGGTAGAGGGATGAGACAGAATCAGAAGAAGGATTTCTGAAGTGGCAACGTTGGTAAGTTTGCTATAAGTAGCACTGAGGTGGGCTTGGGTGATTTTCTCTTCCAAAACTGATGCATGGGACATTGGAAAGGGGTTAAGAAAAAGCCGCTTTGGCTGCAATATTGCATCTTTTCTGCTCTGCCTTTGTTTCAGGAAGACTGATTCCTAATCTCCAGACTGTTCCTGAATCCCAGACAGCAAGCAATGACGGCTGTTTTCTCACTTACCATATCTGCTGAGTGATTTGGTGAAGGTGGAGGAGTTGGAAATGTTGTAAGCTGAATTCTGCTTGGGCACCAGGGCCACAGAGGAACCATCTGTCACCTATAGCAAGAATATTAGCAAAACAAAGTTTGAATGGACTTTTCAGATCCACATATCATGCATCTCTCATCCCAACAGCTCCTCACACTAAGACAAGCTGAAATTGCAATTGCCTAGTCAGTGGGTTCCCAAAGGCAGTTCGATACAATGGACCAATGGACCATCATGCCTCAGGGAAAAGACGGAAACTGAGGTAGTCTGATTACACTTGCAGGTCAACATCCCCATTCTATCCTCTCCTCAGCCTAACTTGCTCTGAAGGAAATTCTAACTTTCTACATTTTTAAACATTTTCTCTTTTTTCATGTATCTTCCTCGCATTCTAAAACATTTAGCTAGGTATTGTTCTAATAACTGCCCCACTTTGAGGAAATACCCCCACACTTGTACACTACCCCTCAATTCAGGGGTTGGGAACCTGAGGCCTAAAGGTCAAATATGGCCCTCCAGAACTCTGGCTCTCAAAATTCTGCCTAGTAGGCCACACCCCTCACTGACCCTACTGTGCACCCTTCCTTACATGTTTTTGCATGACTGTATGGAGGATAGGGGTGTGTGTGTGTGTGTAGAAAATAGCCTGCTGTACAAAGATAAATTTTCATTCATTGCTCCACCCACTTTTGCCTCTGCCCCTCCCCTTGATGCCCTCAAGGTTGTCCAGAAGGGAATGCGGACCTTGGGCTGGAAAGGGTTATCTGCTCCTGCCTTAATCCTTTCTGAGGAGAAGCCATGTTGGGCTAGGTGTGTAGAGGATGGAAACTTGACAGTCCTTTGCCCCAGCAAGGCTGACTGTGAATGCAGAAAGCTGGCAAGTGACCAGGTGGCCTACTATCTGCGGGCAGCTGCAAAGGCAAGCAGTGAATGGTTCCCACTGGCCCACAACCCATGTCATTTCAAACTGGATCCCTTCTGAAAGGCTGAGCCAACCCCCTTAGATATCCAAAAGGGTGCATCAGGGTATATACTAAAAGACCACTCTAGATTGTTTGGCAGTATACTCAGGAACTGTCCTGTTTGTGACTGATCATTAATCTACATTACGCAATATCCGGATTACAGTCAGAGTTTATCATGCATTTCTCTTGCATCAGATGCAGAGGTTGTCTGCAGTGCCCTTCTCTCACACTGTACACATGAAGCATCTAAAGTTGAGTGAACCCTGCACTTAGATGTGCCACACAGTTTCTAAAGCCAGCAGACCACCACACCTGGTAATGGGCGAGAGTGTTGAGCCTTTTCCAGTCATTGTCAATCTTTGTCGTGACATCTTCATCTTGCAGAATTATCCGAGCCATCCTGCCCTGCCGCCACTCTGCACCGATGGAAGAGAAGGGCATGGGGTCACTGGGGATCGTGCTCACTTTGGACAGATCACAGAACGAAAGGCATGGAGAGCATGTGAGTGAGGCGTGGCACAAACAGTTTTTAAAAGCCACACCCCACTTTAAACCCTTGGCTGTCTTGTGCGCTGCCAGCAGCCATGCTGATGAGGCTGGCCAAACATTTGGATGGAGAATAACTGACTCGTTTTCTCCTGTCTGTACTCCATTTGCACAAATGGGATATCACTGTTCTTGAGCAGCAGCATCCTACTGCTTGACCCCGTTCAGTGAATCTCCAAGCAACAGAAATATCTGCAGCTCACCCGTGTTCCTTTTATTTTCCCTTACAGAGAATCTCAAATTTTCAATGCCGACTGAGCACTACTGTCTCAGCCAATGAAAACACTGGCTTCCAAACTTTGGGTCCAACAATCTATTCAGGTGATTCACAACAAGCGTCAATGAGAAAATGTATAGCTCTTCTTAAATTTCAGGATGTTATGTGTGGAATCTTTACAAATGCAGAATTTAGAAGACTAAAGTACAGAATGCAGCGCTGAGACTTGCTCCTTCTTACATTCCATGGTGCAGCATCTGATGTTGTGCTAGGACCTGCCAACCACTTACCTTCCTGCAAGGCAGTTGATGGACTCTCTTTCTATATCAGAGCCCAAAGTAGCAGCTAGGAAAAGGCTGTGGGGAGGAAAGTGGTTGGCAGCAGATGACACCTTAAAGACTAATAGATTTTATTTTGGTAGAATACACTTTCATGGACTAGAGACCTTTGTATATGACAAAATCAATGCAAGCTGATGCTCCAAATAATAATAATAATAATAATTTATTATTTATACCCCGCCCATCTGGCTGGGCCTCCCCAGCCACTCTGGGCGGCTTCCATAGAAACCAAAAATACAGTAAAATATCACACGTTAAAAACTTCCCTGAACAGGGCTGCCTTAAGATGTCTTCTGAATGTCAGGTAGTTGTTTATCGCTTTGACATCTGCTGGAAGGGCGTTCCACAGGGCGGGCGCCACTACCGAGAAGGCCCTCTGCCTGGTTCCCTGTAGCTTTGCTTCTCGCAATGAGGGAACCGCCAGAAGGCCCTCAGCGCTGGACCTCAGCGTCCGGGCAGAATGATGGGGATGTAGACGCTCCTTCGGGTATACTGGACCGAGGCCGTTTAGGGCTTTAAAGGTCAGCACCAACACTTTGAATTGTGCTCAGAAACGTACTCTTTACGTTACTCTTTAAAGTTTCACTAGACTGTTGCTTTTGCTGCAAGAAGCTAACATAGCTACCTCTGCAAGTACAAATGCAATATGAACTGGTTGTGTAAATCCACCCTTTAGTATACACTGACTGCAAAGCAAACATCTGTAACTCTGCAACTTACCCAGGTCCATGTCCCCTGCCTTAGGTCTCTGTGAGTAAGGGACTCCTTTATACACAGCATCCAAAAGCTTCTCCTTCACTTGTGTGATGGTGTCACAGTTTAGAACCTTGACTGGGATCTCGGGAGCATTTTCATTCTCAGGGTTCACACAGTTCAGCGTCTATATGAGAGAAAAAGGTAAATATATTTGCATGATGGGATTTGCCACATTGCACTATGGCTGCATATCGGGGGAATGCAGAGGGAAATGGGCAAGAGAAGGAGAAGTCATCAAACTGCCTTGGAAGCTTTACCCCTTTTTCCAGTCATTAGGTTGGAAATTTTGGGGAATGCAAAATTTTGCAGTGGAATTTCTTACCCCCCCCCCCAATAACATTGACCCTGCTGATCAGATTCCAGAAAACCAGGCTCCCACTTGCACTAACCAGCATTTTGTAGTCAATTTGTTGACGGATGAGCTTGTCTTCACTTAAGGAGTAGCGAGCCTCTCCAGTGATAGCATCAATGGGTCCCTTCTCCATCTGCTGTTTGATGGCACAGTAAAGCATGAACAGAGGTTCACCTGCACACTCCTAAAGAGAAGGAGGACAGGGCATTAGATAGAACATCCCTTGAAATACCTAAAATAAGCAGCTGTTTCCAAATCAAACTTGCATTGGAGGCTGATTTTATTAAACACTACTTCCATGTAGTAGTAGTAGTAGTAGTAGTAGTAGTAGTAATAATAATAATAATAATAATAATAATAATAATAATTTGCTGGACCCTGGAGAACATGCTTTAAATGTATACACAGAAATGACCAGTGTTGTAGTAAGATCAAAGTTTGCCTAATGATTACGGTATGTTGTTTAATACCTTTGGATCTTGCTCCATTTGCTTTCGTATCGTATCTCCTTTGACCCTGTGGGGTTGTGCAGAGTTGTTAAGGCAGCAGAGAGCATTGTTGGCTGCCCACTCTCCACCTTAGAGCAGATTTATGCCACAAGGTGCCATAGGAAGGCACTGGACATAGTAAAAGATCCATCGCATCCTGGTCACTGTCTCTTCGAGCTCCTGCCATCGGGACGGAGATACAGGACGATGAAGACAAGAACGAGCCGTCTTAAGAACAGCTTCTTCTCCAGAGCGATCTCGGCCCTGAATGGGAAGCCTGGACTTTGAAAGTCATCTAATCTTCCTTGCTGTATTATACTGTATTGTTTTAATTAGTGTTTTTATAGTTGTTTTGATTTTGTGTGGAGTGCCCTACCTGGGTGGATGGAGCAGCCAAGTAATTTCGTTGTCCCCGAGAGGGGGCAATGACAATAAAGATTTTTATTATTATTATTATTATTATTATTGACCCCTATCTTGCCAAAAAAAGCCATTCTTTGGAAAATCTTATCAGAAAAATCCTACTCTTTGCAAAATACAAGTCAATTGTTTCAGTTGGCTTTTCACACAAACAAAATAATGGAGAAGATGTTTTCTGAATATATGCCAGCTATTAATGCTGAGGTACATGATGGTTTGAGAAACAAAGCAGTGAAAAAGCATGTGCGAACTTTAGAAATTCAAGAACTTCACCGAAGATCACTGATCTACAGGGATTATAACCCTACCTTCCCCCCAAAGGGTAGGCTCAATTGGGCAGCACAAAATATCCAATACATGGGGATGGACAAGGCATGAGCAAAGACTTCATAAGATAAAGTAGACCATAAAGGGCTATCTCAAGTGGTTCTTCAGTAGGTATCTGGGTTGACTGATGTGGTTTTCTACAAGTTTTTCTGCAAATTAATTCTCCATGTTCATTCTTACCCATTATTGGATCAAGTCAATGAGCCATATAACCTAGAATCAATCTCCGACAATAGCCAGGACCTGGTTCTTCAGAAAAGGATATATGACAATTGCAAAACAATCCATTAACTATTGTTCATTCAAAGCTTCCAGCACTATGAAGTAAGAGATAAGCTGGACATAAATCTGCCTTCCTCTACATTGATGGGGAAACTGGCCCTCCAAATGTTGTCGGACTCCACCTCCCATCAGTCCCAGCCAGCATGGTCAATAGTCAGGAATGGATTTGTATATCCTCTATGAATTTGTCTCATCAGTACAAAAAAATCCAGATTCTACAACTCTCCATAGCCATGTGCCTCATAAGTCAATCCTTAGATACGTGAAATAAATGCTTCCTGTTGTTTCTTCTTCACTTACTAAATGGTCACACGATTTCATTCTAACAATAAAAGAAATGGGAGTCTGTGATTGTTGTGCAATTAAAAGTTAAGGACAACACAGTAAACAAAAGGAGCCAGTAGACTCCCAGCTGAAAAAGTGTCAACCTCAGCAGTCAGGTGTGTATGATTAAAATGGACTGGAAGTGAGGTGCTGAAGCAGGGGAGAAGAGATGGAAATTAATAGGATGAGTGTGAAAGACATTTGAGAAGGTGAGGGGGGAACTAGAGAGACATCACTCTGAAAACTATTATCAGTGGATTGAGACATTGACTTCAACAGTATTTGGATCAGACGTATAGTAATGCTACATAGCTGGTCCCCAGGAGTGTTTCAGTATTTTCTTGTGCAATCTTTTATGCCAACTAGGGTGAAGATGAAAACAGGAGGGGTAGAGACAAAAATCCCAAGTGACCTCAGTCCTGCCACCTCTTTCCCAGCTGGCCACCATCAAAACAAATTCTACTTTGGTGCAAAGTGCATCTCCTCTCTCTGCCACCATATGCTGTTAGCATCTCGTTAGCATCTGCAGTAATTAAAGAGACAGCTGCTAACGAGCAAGAACAGGCATACATCATCCCTAGACCTACCGACAACACGCCTGTCTTTGAAATTATGTTTCATTTGCAAACTTGGCTTCATTAAGTCTGCTTGGGAAAGAAAGAGTGAGAGAGAGAACCAATGTGGGTGCTATGCTGTTTATTAATAACTGTCTTGTCTCCTCATAATGCACAAGCCAAATGATGGCCGTACATTAACAGGCTTGCATGGCAATTACACTCCAGCATGGCAAGACTCTCCCATTTTTGCCTGCCCTCCTCCCTTTTCAGGTGAGGCCAGAAATTCAAGCCTCTTCCAAGGAGGGCTTTTATTACTTATAAAAGCTAACTGCAAACCATTCAAGCACAAAAAAGCAACACAGATGGAGAATAAATTGAAGATGGCTCCTTGGTCGTATCTTGTTTGTCTGTTGTGATCTCTCATCACACAGTTTTCTCCCACTTGCAGTCAGCTGAGGTGCCCCCTCAGGCAGGTTCTCCCACTTGAGAGCGAGGTGCCTGACCTGTTATCAGGGCTGTTTAAAGGCACTCTTGAGAGCAGTGGATTGCTTTTTACCTTTTGATCACCTCTGAAGACTAACCCTGTTTTAATGTTCTCAGTCCTCAGAGGTTCTGGATACTGGGTCTTATACAATGGACAACAGACAGAGAGGGCTTCGTGTTCTTTAAAACTTGGGGTAAGTATTAACTAGTTAATTACGTTTGTTAACTGCTCTTGAACTGTGTGACTCCCAGCTACAAAAGTGCAGTTGGGCAGGTTGCCATAATCATGCAATAGTAGAAGAACTTTCCATAAGAATTAGCGGGTTCAATATCTGTTTGCAAAGGGAAGTGGGAGGATTTGGCATGGATCTGCTAGAGAGCAGATTGTGGTTTCAAGCTAACAGTGATACACCCATTTAAAACAGGCCACTGAATCTGCTCTAGCAAAGCCAACAGTGAGCTCAGTAGATCAACTTTATGCCAAATGATGTGTTAGCCAGCTCTTTCTTATTTACGGGAAGGCTATCACACATACTGACTCCAGGATAACCTGCTTTGGCTCTTTGCCACTTTTATTAAGACTCCAAACACAAAAGATGAAATTACTTTTGCCTTCTCTTAAGGGAGGTGCATGGGCAAATAGGGTTCACAAAGCATTTGGCTGGGTCCCTCATTGCACCAGGCCCATGCCAGGCTTGCTGAGAGATCTGTAGGTGCAGTACGTGCTGGAGGCATGAATGGTACCTGCCAGGGCCATAGAAGACCTTGAGCCCCAACTCCCTCTTGTATGCTGATATCACTGGCAGGCACCAAGTTCTGATACGATGGGTTGGCTACATGGAAAAGGCAAGTGAAATCCGGATGGATCCCACTGTAGTGAGTGTCTATTGGGGTAGAGGATAATTACATTCAGTCCACATTTTTAAACAAACCAACCTAATTTGCACCTCCTGGGCTAATATACAGATTAGAATGCAATTATTATTCAAATGTTGCACATCTCTGTATTTTATGGCTCAAAATATGCACCAAAATGTGTAAAAAAGTATTAATGGCATATTTTAACATAAAACATGTTTAGAAATGCATACTTTGAGAAAAAATACATATTTAAATAAGCTTTTTGTGATAAAATATGTATTTCAATAATGTGTAAATATTAATTTTCATAGAGATTCTTTTAAAAACCACAGATTAATGTGGAAATAGGATGGAACAGACTTATAAACACATGCAAAGTTGAAGCAGACTGGAAATAAGATGGTTCTGTCAATCCTTGGTCTTCAGCACTCTGAATACTGTCTAAGACTGGCCACACCACACACATTTTGCAAACCCCCATAATTTGGTGACTTTCTGTCTGGACTACTGTAATGTGCTGTATGAGGACCTGCCCTTGAAGAAAGTCCAGAGGCTCTAGTCAGTACAGAATGAGGCTGCTAGGTTGTTAACTGGGGCAGTCAAATGAGACCATGTGTCGCTAGTTCTGAAAGCACTGCACTGGGTGCCAATGAGCTACTGGCACAATTGAAGGTGTTAGTGCCAGCATATGAAACCCTAAATGACCCAAGGACCCAAAAGAGCACCTTCCCCATTATCAGCTATCTCAGCCCCTATGAACAGCTAGTAAGGCCTTGTTGGCTGTGACTGCGGGAAGGGGGCTGTGACCTTTTCAGTGGTGGCTCTGTTCATGGAATGCCATGGTTAGGTGTGATTGTCTCTATCACTATTGACTTTCAGGAGGAGTTTGAAAACACTGCTGTTTACCCAGGCATTCGAGAGCTGAAGGACAGTGCTCCTGGCAACTGCGAAATCACTGGATGAGAGAATGTTTTTAACTGTAGCAGTTTTCAAAATGCTTTAAAAAATGTATTGTTGTGGATGTGGCTTGCTGCCATGGGCTCCTTTAGGAGGGAGGATGGGATATTAATAAATAAGTATAAAATAGTAACCAAGCCCATAAGACCAGGCAAAGGTAACTTGGCATCTTTAGGCAAGGACTTATGTTAACACCACATGCTCCCCAACAGCTTTGGAGCAGGGATTATGTGCTGATCTGCAAAGATGAAAAGCACTTTAGCAGCTGACAGCGAGACACCAGCCAGCACCTACCACATAGCTCTAACAACCTCTTTGTGCAAGGAGACAATGCTTTTCCTGGGCTCATCATAAGTCTGCGCTCAATCATTTAAAAATGACATAGACCAAAACACACTTTTATGCGACAGGACAGTGACTGCACAGTCAGTATGGGATGAGCTTTTAGAATTCACGGCTCTGAGCCCAGTTCCTGGAAGGAATGGATCTGAGGCAAAACCAAACATTTGAGCATAAAATACAAAACAAAACATGAAGAAAGCCACCGATAACTTGCTGAGATGGCTCCCCCCAAACCCTGGAAGTATGGCAATTCCAGCACATAGCCCAGCCTTCCTCAATTTAGCCTGGTGCCTTCCAGATGTTTTGGAGTGAATTCCCATCAGCCCCTGCCAGTTTATATAATCCAAAACATCAAGAGGATACCACAATGAGGAAAGCTAACATAGGATTCTATCCAATGTAAAACCTACTCAGAGTAGGCACATTAAAAGTACTGGTCGTTAGTAACTTAGATAGAGTAGACCAGTGTTCCCCAAACTTGGGCCTCCAGCTGTTTTTGGACTACAATTCCCATCATCCTTGACCACTGGTCTTGCTAGCGAGGGATGATGGGAGTTGTAGTCCAAAAACAGCTGGAGGCCCAAGGTTGGGGAACACTGGAGTAGACCTATCAAAATGAATCTACTTCATTTCCTTTCAACTATTTGTATACTGCTTAATCACAATCATCACTAAGCAGCGTACAAGAAGCCCAATACAGAAAGCTTCAAGGCCAACTAGGGATTTCAACCCTGGTTCTCCCAGTCCAGCACTGTAATCACTACACCGAACTCTTACTGAAAACACCACAATCTCTGGTAGAGATGTTTCCAGGTCCTCTGATCCAATATCCTTTTAACTGGAGATTCCAGAGCTTGAACCCAGGGCCTTCTGCATGCTCTACCACTTATCAGTTGGCCCTCTCTGACACAAATGCAGGGCTGAGATCTCACGAATAAACTGAAGGATCTAGAGGCCTGCTCTGCTCTTGACATATTGTCTGCAAATGTTTCCATTACCTTTGTTCCACTGACAACTCAGCACTGTTTCCAGGAGTTCTCCTATCTACAGCTTTCTCTGGCCAATATTAAGCAGGCACAGTGGCTGTAGACCCCAGCTCCTGCGAAAAGCAGAAGGGCCAAAAGACCAAATGCTCTTGAGAAGAGCACCTCCTTTAACCTTCAACAGATTAAGAGAAGCTGCAGGATGCAGAATAAAGTGTAAACATTGGCATTTGCATATGAGTGCCTGCGTATGTGGAGAGAAAGCCTGAAGCAGCATGAGCCAAACTATCTAACGCTCACAGTGTCTTATTGATGAGATTTAGCTCATCAGGCACCTAATATTGTGCATTTTTCAATGCTCCTCTTTATCTGCTTCGCTCTCCCATTCCCTGGGATGGCTCATTAGGAGGCTGATGAATGGCGCTCGAGGCCTCAACAAAAGCACCACTGCCCGGGCCTGCCGATTCCACGATGCCTGCCTGTCCCTACCTCTGCCACAAACGACACCTGGGCAGCCAGGGCGAAGGAAGCGGGGAGAGGACAGAGAGAGAAGGGAGAAGAAGAGCAGCACATTGATCTCGGCCTTCAGTGGTGCTGAATCAATATATCATTTCCCTCACAGATGATTGGCAGGGTTTCTTTTCATTCCTTTAAGGGCCTTGTGCTGTTGCTGTGTAGCTGTCACAAGAGGCTAGCTAATGCTACATCCTTGTATGCTACACCTATTGTGAGTGCTCATCTCATGAAGGGCTCAGGCTAGAGATAAGCGCTGAGCTATGGGAGAGCAGAGCTCGGCTCTACATAGCAGCAAGAGTTGCATCCTGATTGTGAGCCCCGCTGCCCATACTGGAAGGTGCTGCTTTGAGTAGAGCCCTCTCCTGTAGAGCTACTTCTGCAATGGAGAGGGAGAGCTTCTGGTCTCACTAGGTCTTCAACAGAGTTCTCTGAGTCGAAGGATGGCAGTGCCACATCCTCTGACTGATGGGACACTGGTCCCCGCAAGCTTGCTGGGTAGCAGCACTTCTGAACTGGCCACATATGCTCTCCCTCTTTTGATTTGGAGTCCTTAGCTCCACCACCTCCTTCTGGTCCCTGACACACCCATGGGAATAATTTGTGCCTATCTGAGGACATATGGGCCAACCAGCAAGTGTACAAACATAAGCAAAATCTGGGGAGCATCCTTAATGCTGCAAATCAGAGGTGCTCCTACAAACTCTTCCCTACAGGAAAGGCAGTAAATATAAGATACCACCATTCTTTCTTTCCTTTGTTCTGGTCATCAACATCTCATTTTGACCCAAGGACACAAACTCATGCCCCAGCTGCAGAGGCATTCCCTTGTCAGGTCCTTCTCCAAAGACATGTTTTTGCAAAAATTCACCAAAGGCTACACACACAAAAATGCAAGTACGTTCACTTGCTGGATTTGCATGTGTTTTTGCTACAGTGTGGGGTGGGACCATATATTTCCCTGCTGGCAAAGTGCTTGTGGGGAAGCCTGTTTCAAGTATCTTGACTACTACTTCTCATTTCACAACCACCTGCAATCCTCATCCCTTTAAAGCTACTCAGAGAAATGATATTCTAGACATCAGTTGATGGGAGCTGTCTCTTCCTGCTGGTTACATACATTGCTCTTTTGTACTGAGGAGACTGGAACACGGAGCAGGGTAAAGGTAGGTGCACTTTGCTCAAATGACAATGGCTCGTATGAGATGTAATGGTTGAAGAGCTCTAAGGACCAAGTCTGAACACGATGAACTAAACTACAAATTTACATCATAGTCAGCAATAGCATGTCTATAGGGAATGCACCCTTCTATTGTCTAGGGAAATTCTCATTCTCCTTCATATACTCTCAAAGTAAAACTTGCCATATGGTCAGTTTTTGACCAGTCTGTTTTTATCTTTTGTGTGTGTGTGTTTTAAATAAAGCCTGGCTTACTGCCACTCCAAACAAAATAAAAACCAGCAAGAAGGTTTCCTTCTCACATATTGTCAGAGCTATCTTTTTTGTAATAAGTTTTTACTGAAGAATTTTGAACTGTATAATACAAGCAACGGAACACACAAGCACAAAACAACAAAGCAAGCAAGCAGCAAAGGAGATTAAAAGAACAAAATAATGGGTCACAGTTTCTTATATATCTTGAGTAAAGGTGGAAAGGGGAGGAAGAAAAGGCTAGGTGGAAGGTGAGGCAATGGCCTGGGGTCACTGTTATATCGAGTCTTTCCAGAAGACCATCTGGGTAGCAGATGGGAGGAATTCCTCCACTGAATAGTTTATAAATGAGAGGGAGGGAAATTGGGTGACAGCAAAAGCATCAGGCTTTGCCTGGTCCATACTCAAGACAATTCGCGCGAATAAACTTTTCTGATAAATCTATTTGCCACATGCACTGGCACCATGATTCAAGCATAAAATCAGGCCTTTTCCATCCCCCCAATAGCCATGCAAGCAGCTGTCGGGAGGAAAGTCAAAATGTCTCTATGGAGCAGCCTTGGGCTGGTAAATGGGCAGCAAGAGCAAGTACAGGAAATTTAGGGACATTTTGCTTAGTTATTAAGGATAGCTGATTAAATATTTTGTCCCCAAATCAATTGGGGAAAAGCCACCACATGTGTACTCTGATCTGTGCTGTGAAAGAACGCTGCCCTGAGACTGTAGAGCCCATTTCTCTGAATGCAGAAAATCTGGGGGCAGCGGGGATCAATGTTCAAATGTATCCAAGGACCATGCTTTCCAGAAGCTTAAGCACATAAAACAACATTGGTTCTGTGTGTGTGTGTGTGTGTGTGTGTGCATGTGCGTGTGTGTATTATCATTAGAACTCGGTATATGTTGGCTCACTAATGACCATCTGCAAAGGCAACGGTTCTAGAGGAAAGGAGAACGCTGCATGGAAATGAACTTCAGCAACTGATGTGATCCTGCTCCTCTTCCTCAAAGCAGCTCTAAGAGCTTGCTAACTAACCTGCAGGACAGATTTATATACTTATGCTTGCATGCACAAGGAATGGAGGAATGGAAAGAGCCAGTCCATTGGATTTGGGTGGTGACAAATGGCACTGCCAAATTCCAGCAGCATGAAGTCAACCCTTCCTTTATCCAGCTTGGAATGCAATTTATCTATTCCAGGAGCTTAATGCACAGAGATATTTTTGAAGGAGAGAGTTTTTTTTGGGTTCTTTAAAGCACCACATGGGCTCCCGGTGTCTCCTACACACAGCTTGAGGTGTATTTCCAGACCAGACCACACAGCACCACGTTCTCAAAAACTTGTGCACCTTTGCTTGAAACACTACATGGAGCCTTCTCTTGGTTATGGCTATATAGGAACTCTACATTTAAGGCTAAGGCTACATCTGCACCATACATTTAAAGCACTACGATACCACTTTAACAGTCATGGCTTCCCCCAAAGAATCCTGGGTAGTAGATGCTGAGAACTGAGACCCCCTGTTCCCCTCGCAGAGCTACAATTCCCAGAGATCCCTGGCTGAATGTTAAGTTCTGTGAAGGGAACAGGGGTCTCCTAAAAACTCTAGAATATAAATTCAAGAATTATTATCTTTATTGTACTGTCACAGACCCAGTAAAGATACTAATATATGAGGTTGCCTGAGTCAAGTCATTGGTCCATCTATCTCAGAACTGTCTGACCAGCAGCTCCTCCGGGTTTCAGGCAGGGCTTTTTCTCAGTCATACCTGGAGATGCAAAGCATCATGCAAAGCATGATCCACAACCCTTCCTTAAAGAGTGGGCTATTGCAGAACTTTGAGGCTTCTGCAGAAGAGCTGCAAAAATAAAATAAAAAAGCTTCTGGCTACAGAATCCCTTGGTGTGTAGAGTTGGAAAGGAGCCAAACCCCATCCCAAGCTTCAGGCAGCCTCTACAACTGAGAGTCTGTGGCAGAGGCAACAGTATATTAGGAATGGGTTCCTTCCATTTCTAGCCTTTCTCCCAACAAACTCATGTATTCCATGACTTCACCACCTGAGCTCTCCTAAATTATTCCCTCACCTGGCCCCTGCCAAATCCCAAAGTCATGCAAGAGCTGTAGCTAGAATTAAGTAAACATTGTAGCCCATAGGACCAACTTAACGCAATGGCGATTAGACAGTACACCGAAACAAGGATATACAGAGCTGGGTTCTAAGAAAAAATGTTTAAACAGCAACAAAGCACTGTTCTCCTTACATCCTTGCAAAGTGATATATGCTCTACAGTAGCGATATACATTTATAGATATGGGACGTCCCTAGACAGAGGCAAAGAGCGAAGTGCATGTAAGCGATAACATAAATCACCTCTCAGTGGCCGATCACTTGCAGTCTCTGCATAGCTCTCAACTTGCTTGGAAACAATTCAAGCTTTCTTTATCTTAATGAGGGATGGTATCCCACGAAAAACAGCTCTGCGCCACAATGACTTGCTGAGTGAAAGTCTGGCAAGATCCCAGTGAAGCATCACTTTTGACTGACAAACAGGTCTATGTAACAGTCATTAACCTGGGTTTCCTTCTGGAGTGCGGGTAAACTACAGCTCCCCTGACACACGGGCCACAGCAGTGCCAGGCAATGGCAGCCATAATTCATCCATGGTGCAGCAGCTCGTAGCTCGGGGCTAGGCAGGGCCTGCAGGTTTTACCTCCACAGAATGTACCTGAATCTGTTTGTGCCTACTGATTTTTTCCAGCAGACAAGACCAAAGGAAGAAATGTGCTACATACTAATGAGCTGTAATGGGCAGGGAGGGAACCTTGCACCAACTTAATGCAGCTGCAGCCACGCCACCTCCACTGAGATCCTGGAAATACTGTAATTCAGTGCCACAACAATTCTGGTTGAACAATGACAATTGCCGTTTTTTTTGTTTCCCTTCCATATAGGGAATTCAATTGTTTACGCTGTTCCATCATCCTTCAGCCCCTCCTTCTATCAGCACCTCCCTAAAACCATTAACCCACCTCTGCACCAAACTGGTTTATCATGAAGGGGGGAAAGGGTTGGGGATATCAGGAGAGTGAGTGGAACAGTGCATCAGAGTGACTTCTAAACGCATCCAAGTTCTCTAAATGTTATCTAGAAGTTCACGTGGTGATAGCAAAGAATAGGAAGACTGGTAACAATTGTTAGCTTAGTTTTGCAGAAAATTGGGGTATACCAAATGTGGAACCAGCCCCCCCAAACCTTGGTGTTCCCGATTCCCAAGGCACAAGCAATGGTTCTTACAAATCAAGCACTCAAATCTTTTCCCCAGCCTCATTCTACATGGTTAACAAGATGCTCCATTCTTACCTTTAAGAACTTGTACAGAAGGAACGTGAACCAATTTGTCAGCATTTTTTCAGCCACCGACTCAGTCCTGTAGGGGAGGTAGGGAGTAAGTGTGAGAACAGGAAAAATCAGAGGCCTCTGATCTTTTCTCAAAGTCTCAGATCCTTTTGCTTTTTCTCTTAAAGGCTTTAAAGGTCAAACCATGAAAGGCAGGAACCTCAAAGCAAAGAGGAAGGTAGCCAGAACACGGGGGTTGCCATGACAAAATCTAAAGATAGTCCTGGCAACAGCCAATCCCACTTTGCCCCCACAGAGCTCATTAGAGTAAAACCTGGACTCCTGCTGGCCACAGCAATAAAAATACAGCTAAAGAAAAAGAGTTGACCCAACCTCCATCAGCAAATCTCCAGAGACTGCTCCCCAGAATCATCTTCTGGCCCTTGCTCCGCATTTCTAAAGAGTTCAAGGATCTGTATTTTCACTGAGTTTAATGGAATTCACAAAGCTTCCCAGTTAACATTTTGTAGGAGAGCAATAGTTGGGAAAGGCAAGAAAACTCTGAACTATTTTGAAATACTTTTGTATATCAGTGAATAATCTCAGCTGGAAAGTACTCTGCAACAGCCATACATAATTGAACATAGAATCACAGAACTGTAGAGTTGGAAGGGATCCCAAAGGTGATCTACTCCAACCCCCTGCAATGCAAGAATCTCAGCTAAAGCATCCATGACAGAGCTCACATTGACCAACTCCAAAACCAGGTGGTAGACATTGCCTCCCCTTAAAAAGGAAAAAAGGAACATACAGTATTTCCAAAATTGGGGTGGGGGGGGTGGGGAGCAACTGGCCCAGCTTATTCCCCACAAAGGAAGACAGCCTCCAGAAGCTTAAGTGATGCTTCAGACAATGCTGCCAAGCATCATTGCAATCTCTGGTCTGGTCTAGTAGTGAGCTGAGTTGACTCTTGTCATTGATTATACCCCACTTGAAATATTAAGATGGGTTTTGTTTGTTTTCTTGCAATAGGTTGTGGAGGGGAGGTCTACAACCAATTTCAGCTTAGACTCACATGAATGAGTCTAGAATATGTTGCAATTTTTTTCAAACAGGGTTTTTGTTTTATTTTTTACATCTCTAAGCTGCAATTCAAATGCCTGTCCCATCCACAGCAGTCATTGGTTTCTATTACAGCAAAATATGGGGAGAGCCATTTATATAAATTCCACTGCATGTGAGAGAGTGTGATCAATGAAAAGCTTCTTCCTCCTCTTAGTATTGTGAGAAAGGTGGGATAAAAAGAGCCCAAAATTTATCTGCATCTGAGAGGCTCGGTTTTATTGCACTTGTTTCTCACTTATCATTTCTAGCACACCATAATACTTGACCGGATAGAGATATGCTAAGAAAGAGCTAAGGAGTCTCGCTTCCCTCCGTCTGAGTGTGGGACCATGTTAAACAGATCAATGTAGTGACATCATGAGGATCTGCAGCAGTGTATACTGGTATACTGACATTTAATGGAAAACTAAAACTTTTGCGATACTGGGGTTTGCCAAGTTCCCAATGTCTGCATGAGTTGGAGAAACCGCTGAATATAACAAAAAATGAATTATTCATATGTCAATATATCAGTGGATCCTCGTTAAGGTTTTGTAAAGAAACAGGGCGTCATACTAGCTTCCCATTGATGTGCTATTATATACTGACAATATAAGATTTGGATTTTATATTTATACATACTACTCCAGAGTGCAGATGCTTAGTAATTGCATTTAACTGCAAGTGAACCTTCTTGCATTTCCAGAATGTATGTTCTCATTATATGATCATTGTGTTGCTTTTTGTCCATGACTAAAGACATTGTCATCTAGGAAGGAAGAGTTCCAGTCTAAAGCACATCACATGGCAAACTGGGGGACAGCAGAAAGGAAGGAAGTTTCAATATATTTTCCTATGTACATCAGCCTCCTCTCTCTCCTCTCTCTCTCTCTCTCACACACACACACACACACACACACACACACACACACAACCAAAGTATTTCAAAGCAGGAGCCCAGAATGAGGAGATCAAGGCCAAAGCCAAAGGGAGAGCTGGGAAGAAGATACAACTGAAACCGTAGAGAGTTGTAGGCAGACAGAGAGAGCTGCTGATGGAAGCTCAGGGCCTGATCACCAGAGACATGAGCAGATTAGTATACAGAGACAGGGCTGTAAGAATTGAGTCTGTGTTGACTGCCTTCACTATTCATCAGCTCATACCAATGAAAACATTGCTCTGATACAAAAATTAAGATTCACCTTAACATACTTATCAAACAATATTTAAAACTATGCACATTTCTTCCTTAAAATGGAGAAAAATATGCAGGTGGCTCTGATTGAAATTCTTTATTTATGCCTTTTTGGCTGCTCCATCTATTAATCATCAGATCAGTTATTTCATATTCAAATGCTCACAAAAGTACAAGCAACGCTAATGACCTCAAGAAGGAAACTGCCTCCTCATTTCTATAAGGGAGCAGACGGGAGGGGCTAAGGGGTGTTATTGAAAATAGCAAAACCAAAACAATCAAAATCCCACCAAAAGCTGCACAGATTTTGAGTGGAATTCCCATGAAACAATGGGAGTATCAGGCAGGAGGGAAGAGTTAATTACTGCAGATTGCTTTGAGAGAAACCACCTTGCCTGTTGTTGAAATCAGCCCTGAGTGCTCACTGGAAGGACAGATCCTGAAGCTGAGGCTCCAATACTTTGGCCACCTCATGTGAAGAAAAGACTCCCTGGAAAAGACCCTGATGTTGGGAACGATTGAGGGCACAAGGAGAAGGGGACGACAGAGGACGAGATGGTTGGACAGTGTTCTCAAAGCTACGAACGTTAAGTTTGCCCAAGCTGCAGGAGGCAGTGGAAGACAGAAGTGCCTGGCGTGCTCAGGTCCATGGGGTCAGGAAGAGTCGGACATGACTAAACGACTAAACAACAAAAAAAGATAAAGGGACCCCTGACAGTCAAGTCCAATCGCGAACGACTCTGGGGTTCCGGCGCTCATCTCGCTTTACTGGCCGAGGGAGCCGATGTTTGTCCGCTCCGCAGACAGTTTTTCCGGGTCATGTGGTCAGAATGACTAAGCCGCTTCTGGCGCAATGGAACACCGACACCAGAGCAGTGCACAGAAACGCTGTTTACCTTCCTGCCGCAGCGGTACCTATTTATCTACTTGCACTTTTTGGTGTGCTTTCGAACTGCTAGGTTGGCAGAAGCTGGGTCCAAGCAACGGGAGCTCATCCCGTCACAGGGATTCGAATCGCTAATCGGCAAGCCCAAGAGGCTCAGTGGTTTAGACCACAACGCCACCTGCGTCCCTAAAATTTATTTTTTCTTATTTCTCACGTAGTCGGCTCAAATATAATTCCTGCCGATTTTCACCTTCTGCTTTGATTAAATGGAGAGTTTCCTTGACTTTGTTTTCCTAGAAGAGCAGATCTGTGCTTGCAAGAGAAAGCACATTATCAATGCCCAAAAACCTTCTCTTTCACTTTCCCATAAAAACTGAGGCCTGCACCACTTGTTACCCAACAAGCTAAATGCAGTCCATTGCCCAGTTAATCTGCTGCTGCAGCCTGCCTTCGGCAGCAGGCTATGTTCTGGTTGATGGATCAAACAGTGTGTGGGTCTGGCTTATGTTCTGAAAGTGACAACCCTGTAGGAACAAGTGTGCTGTGATGGCGTTTATTGACCTGACTAAGGCTTTCAACACTGTAGATCGTAATGCCCTGTGGACTGTCCTTGGCTGCCCAGATAAATTTATAAACATCATTCGGCTCCTCCATGATAATATGACAGCAACAATCGCAGATAACAATGGCTCTCAAAGTGAACCATTCACAGTGGGCTCAGGTGTTAAACAGGGTGGTGTTATTGCCCCAACTCTATTCATTATTTTCATTGCCATGATCCTACACTTTGTCAAAGGGAAACTCCCCACCGGAGTAGAAATCATATATCGAACAGATGGAAAGCTCTTCAATCTGAGCAGGCTGAAAGCAAAGAGTAAGGCTACCGTAACTTCCGTTCCGTCACAGAGCTTCAGTATGCTGATGACAACGTAGTGTGCGCACGCTCAGAGGATGACCTCCAGACCATCCTAAATATCTTTGCAGAAGCTTACGAAAAGCTTGGCCTATCACTCAACATCCAAAAAACCAAAGTGATGCACTGCACCAACAAGTACAAAATAACCCCTCTGCAGCGCCACAAATCCAACTCAATGGTGTAACATTGGAAAATGTTAACCACTTCTCCTACCTAGGCAGTTATCTTTCCACAAGGGCCAACATTGATGCAGAAATCCAGCATCGCCTGAGCTCTGCAAGTGCAGCTTTCTACCGATTGAAGTGCAGAGAGTTTGAGGACCGGGACATTCGCAGGGAAAGGAAAATGCTTGTTTACAAAGCTATTGTACTACCAACCTTACTATATGCTTGTGAAACATGGACCACTTATAAACGCCACCTCCAACTCCTCGAAAGATTCCATCAGCAGTGTCTCCGAAAAAATTTACACATCACTTGGGAAGACAGGCGAACTAATATTAGTCTATTGGATGAAGCAAAGATCACCAGTATTGAAGCAATGATTCTTCAACATCAACTTCGTTGGACTGGTCATGTTGTGCGGATGCCTGATGATCGTCTTTCCAAAGCAACTACTCTATTCTAAACTTAAAAATGGAAAGCGTAATGCTGGTGGTCAACAAAAGAAGTTTAAAGACTGTCTCAAGGCAAATCTAAAAAAATGTAGTATAAACACTGACAACTGGGAAACACTGGCCTGTGAGCGCTCCAGTTGGAGAACAGCCTTTACCAAAGGTGTCATGGGCTTTGAAGTCACTCGAACTCAGGATGCAAGGTAGAAACGTGCTAAGAGGAAGGCATGCTTGGCAAATCCACACTGTGATCAACTCCCATCCAGAAACCAATGTCCCCACTGTGGAAGGACGTGTGGGTTCCAGAATTGGCCTCCACAGTCACTTACAGACTCATTGTTAAAACCGTGTCTATGGAAGACAATCTTACTCGGCTACGAGTGATCGCGAAAGAAGAAAAGAAAGAAAGATGGAAACTATTGAACTAGGTTCCGGGAGATCCAAGTTCAAATTCCTGCTCAGTTCGCTGCACATTTGAAAATTCCCTCCGTTTTTAGATAGATTTCGCTATATCCACCACGACTAGACTCACAATAAGAGCTAATTCACACACTATATTCTCTTAAGTAACCATCCTTTGGCTCCTGAGCTCATTCACCTAACAAGGGTATTACAGACCCTCTCAGTTTTACACTGCATTTGGCAGTTCTGTTTGCCACAGGTACACCAACATGACATATAAAGCACATTTTCAAACATGCAGGAATATGCAGTGGGGAGATGCTGGCAAAGGAACTCATCTCAGGCACATGTTCATTGCCTGCATACAGATATGCATCTTCCCTTCATGTGCTAATGGTGTCTAGTGCAAAAACAAGTATACACACAGCATGTGCAACTTCTCTGTAAAGTGTGAATTGGACCTAATCCTAGGCTGAACACTCTGAAAGGATATTCATTTGTGTCTTTGGCACCACACTGTTCCAAATGGCCCATGATCAGATAAGGAATCTTAAATATATTTTCTTAATATGCTGTTATTCTAAATATTGGCTTTCATTAGGAACAACTTTTCAAGGACTGGATTGCTAAAGGACAAAGAAGGGGAAGCACAGTGACAGACACCGTGGTGTATGTTTAATAATTGCACTGGTTCTGCAGCTGGTGTTTCTTTCAATATTCATTGGCCTGTGATACAGGAGACCTATCTAGCTACCATTTAAAAATTGATGGAGCAGAGCAGATGCAGAGTGGAGCTGGAACGCTGCCCCTGGCTCACACTCTTCCCTCACCTGTCTTGAGGCTCTTTGCTTAAGAAAATCTGCTGGGCTCTGACAATAACCCATCCCAACAATCACCTGGGAGGAGTGGTGTGGATCTGCCCTGACGAAATGATTGGAAAATAATGACAAGGGAAGGTAGAGCCCAATGCAAAATCGAATAGGAAGAGAACACCTCTCTCTTGGACCCATGAGCAAAGAAGCCTGCTCCTGATGCCATCCATTCAAAACATCAGATAGTGTTTAAGGGGCAACAGGAGAAGGCCCATAGTCATTTTGGATGTAGGTTGAAAGAGTTTGCTATTAACAACTCCAGGACCATCCAGGAGCATTTACGAGATTTGTAAAATGCAGGGTTTGTGGGAAAGACTGCTGGTTGAGATGCAAGAATACAGGCAATGACTTGCTGCGGTCGGCAGCCAAGGATGCAAGGATACTGCCAGTGAGAGTGGAAGTAATGCAGGGTGCAGTGAGAAGTGGCAAAAATCGACATTAAACCTTCAGTGATAAGTAGTTTTAATTAATGAAACAGCTGCCATTTCTAGCACTCGGATTTTAAAATGAGGCCAGCTCTCACAGAGTGAGACTGTTCTTAAGCTAAAACACAGAAATAGGACATCTACTGAGTTCTGAAACAAACAAATTCTCTCTACTATGCATCTAATTCCAAGGCAGGAGGCTGTTCCCCCCCCCCAACAGTTTGATTATCTGACTCACAAAATAAGGCTGTGTAGAAGAAACATTTAAAGGCAAAGACCCACCTCTGGTTTCTAAGCTCTTACCATGTGTTGCCCACATACCCTCAAGCCCATCTCTGAAACCTTGATGGCTTTAATTTTCTTATTATTTTTTTAAAGGCAGAAGGGAGGGGGGGAAGATTCTTGGGTTATTGAATTTTCCACCCAATAACAATTTATTTCCTTGCAAGGTCTGAGCACAGAATCGTAAAATATGCATAGACCTGTTTACAGAGTAAGATCCAAACTACTTTAGCACTGACTCCCTTATCAAATTATTTGCAACCTCCTTGGCACGGGCAAGGCACTTATCTTCCTCTGTCCACTGAACTCCTCTAAGCTGCTCTGCAGCAGAAAATAATGACTATTTCTTTGCCACATGACACAGGAGTAATATTATGAGTTCAAGAAATTTAAAATACTAGTAGTCTACAGTAGAGGTAGGCTTGTTGAATCTACTTTTGTTTCTCCCCCAGAACCTCAATATCTACCAGCCAGGGCCAGATGCAAAAGACGTACATAAGAATGAAAGAACAGGGTGCCTCTGACACATTGAATTTACTATTGGTAGCAGAATTGAACTGAGTTCAGGTTTTTTCCCACATAAAAGTCCACTTCTGCTTAATTTTAATTCATTTCAGCAACCAAATTTAGGTGGGAAAATTCCTTTTGTTGCTGCTACTGTTAAAAAACCAGGAGTCAGAAATCCATGTTGATGTACCGCATCTCACTCAGAGATCTAGCAGGAGGTCTTCCTTCTGCCCACCCTGATCTATAGAACTACATCTCATGATAGCCTGCGAGGGCTCATCATTCTGCATCATCCTTTGCCAACCTGCTTCTCCTAGATGTTTTGGATGACCACTCCCATCAGCCCCGGCAAACATGGCTAGGCCTGAGGGGAGTTGTCGTCGAAACATGTGGAAGGTACAAGGGTGGCAAAGGCTATCTTTCATTATATTAGAATGTAATATGTAAAGGGTGAAGTATGAAAAGGGGAAGTCTGTGAGTCATTCACATTTCCCCTCCCCTCTCCCAGGTCAAGTTCTGTATAACACCAAAGCTTGCCTCAGCAAAAACTCGCAAAGACACTTGAACATGTTCCGAGAGAAATGCTCACCTCCTCAAGAGCAGTTTTGGATGGTTCTTGCTCTCCAAGTTCTTTTCGATCAAGTCTGAGAGAAGCTGCTTGAGCACCCCAGTGGCATACTCCATCTCGCCCTGCAGCGCTGTCATGATTAAAGAGGCCACGTTGCCCCGGTCCCTCATGGAGAAGCTGCGCTGTGCCTCCAAAGTGCGAATGAAGGTCAACAGGAAGTGCTTTTTGTTCAAGAGCTGTCCAAAGAGGGTCAAAGACTTCTCCACGTTTGCCTGGACCTGAGGGAGGGAAAACTTCATTAGATTCAGGTCCAGAGGCTTATCTTAAGAGTTCCTTTGACTAGGTATTTCAAAAGGCCATGCACAGGGACCTAAGGGTCATGAGTACTTAGCAAAACAGATAAAGCCTGCTGTCCCGACAGTCAGTGGACTTTAGCAGCAACCAGGAAAATTCACTTTCAAAGTGAGAACTGTCTTCTCTGTCCTCCCACATTCTAATTATTGAGAACTGCCGTTTGGGGAGAGTTTCTTTCCAGCCATCACCATTTAGTGATGATTTAGAGGATAAAGCAATAACGTGCAAGTCCTTTCAAAAGTCTGTTGCATCCCATACATGTCTGTACATGTATCCATCCTGTACACCATACAACTGCTTTGACCAATAATCTCTTCACTCTGGATGCTTCCGGGGCAATGGGGTTTCCCCCATTCCACCTTGCCATTTAAAAGCCATTCTTTGGCCTTCTGCTCTCTGTGGATCTATTGTCAAACACGTACATATCAACTAATTTTTGACTGACTTGCCTCAAATATATATATGATACTTTATTTTTCTCCCTTTTACAGTGCTTGCAAAGCCTACTATATAAGATTCTCTTGAATCTGTAGCACAGGTGCATACATAGAGAGTATCTCCATGGGGGATGAGTATATATAATACATACTCTTTTCCATCCTGTGCACACACGAGTCTCATTTTCTGGTTTTATTAAAAGAAACATAGAATTCAGTTGGGCATCCTTTTTTTCCGTAAGAAAAGTTGCCAAAATGCTGGGCTTGGCTGGAGAGTAACAGCCAAATTCTTCCTGGATAGATCTGAGTGTACCAAGCTGTCCCCACAGGAAATTCTGATCTTTTGCACTTTCTGCATATGGTCTTAAATGTTACCGTCTGTCCCTGAGATTAGTGATGCCATTTGAAGCATGCCTGGTTTTGTTTTGAGTGGCTTTAAAAAAAAAAAAATCAGGAAAGGGCATTTCCTCCTCTCCCACATATATTCTGCTCCTGCGGCTGCTGAGTTGTCCTCAGATTTTGCTGGTCAGAGCACCCCTACATCCCAAAGTGGATCTCAGTGCCTCCCTAGCCATAAAGCAGATAATTAATGACTAAATCTGATCAGGGCATCTGGTCTACAGAGATTGCTTAGGTGCTTTAGTGCCCCATACTCAGGAAACAAGTAACTCTCTTTCTCCGTTAACAATAGCCTCTGTCTTGAATCTCCATCTACAGATCCCCCCCCCCCAAATAAGTCCAGGGCAAAACTAAAATGAACCCTTAGACTGTTAGCTTCTCTGGGCAGAGACTTTTCTTTTGCTTATGACACTTTGGAAAGCAGGAGTTTGGAACCTGTGGTCCTATATATGTCGTTGGGCTAGGCTCCCATCATTCTTGCTCACTGGTCATGTTGCCTAGGGCTGCTGGGAGCTAAAGTCCAATGGTACCTGCAGGTTGCCTAATCCTCCTTTAAGGTCTTGTGTACTGGTGGTGGTATATAAATAATGATAAAAGGAGAAGAATCTGCATTGATGAGGTTACAGGAAGTATTCCTGCATTTGGGTAGTCTTGCATACTGCGCAGGGGGAGGGAAATGGGGAGAAGAAGAGCAAACAGAACAGTCAATGCTGCAGGATATGTTTTAAGATCTTTTTTTTAAGTATGCACATATTGGAATTATCGGCTCCAATCAATGGCTCTCACCAGCTGCTACTGAAGGTTGTCATTGAAAACTAAATGCTCACAGTTTGAAACATGGGTTTTTTCCTTGCTTCCTAATGTCTAGGAAAAAAACACATGTCAACACAAGCCCAGCAGGCAATAATTGGATAATCTGCAGGTCAATTCAGGAGGAGGAGGAATTTCAGGCACACAAGCCAGCCATATTTCTAGAGACACCCCCAGCACCAGATTTTACAGAAGTGAAGATTCAGAAGCCAAATGTATATTCCTAAAATCCCCTCATCTTCTGAATGTCCAAACTACCTCCCAATGACACTCAGACATATGTAACTAAAGCCCAACAGCTATGCCTGGTTATACTGTTTCTTCTCTCCACTTCACTCCATTCCAAGTTTTCCCACAAAGTGACTTCCTTCTCAACCCTCCAGAGTTCTTTATTTTTAAGAACAAAGAGATGGGAGAGAGGAGTAGCTGTTTGGGGGGGGGGGGGAGGCACAAGTGTCTTTCAACCAGCACTGCCTTGGCTCTTCCTAGCCAGGATCTGAGTGTGCAGGGCTGCCTAATGCTCCATTCGTGGTAGATTTCACAGACGGTTTTGTGCAAGGCCACTGCCCTGTATTTTCAGTGATCAAAATAAAGCAAAGCCCTTCACTCTCCCAGAAGCCATGAAGGGAGGATCAGATGGCAGGTTCCTCCTATCTGGGCTGTGTGCTCAGCTTCTAAAGTCAGCGGCACTTGATAAGCTCGGAAATTGGTCCTGTCCTACATAAGCGATCTTATCAGAATTGCATGCTGCAAATAGAGCAGGGTGGTGGTGGCTGCAGCAGCAGCAGCAGCAGTAGTAGCAGCAGCACAAAACATCTGTCACATAAATGATCTCAGCAGGCTTGACTTACCATCTACAACTCGGAAAGCAATGAAGCAAAGCCCTCTTGCAAACTGACACCCTCTCCACCCCACCCCTTTACTCCGTTGCTCTTCTCCTTTTTGTGCAATCTTTAGCAAAAGCAAATGACCAAAAAAAAATTAAGCATTTAAACAAGGGTTTAAATTTGCACAAAAGCAGTGACAACCCCAAAGATAAGAAAAAGTGCTAATGACAGCCTTATGCTTGGCTCTGGATTATTATTATTATTATTATTATTATTATTATTATTATCACATGAGTGCACATGGAGTGGGCGATCCCTCTTGTAATTTCATTTTACCAACTAAGCATATATGGTTTCTCTGAAATTAAAATTACAGCTGGGAAAGCCTTGTATGTCCTCTGTTTAATTAGTTCTTTGAAGTTATATACCTGATTATGCACTGCAGTTTCAAAGTTCTGCCAGATCTAGCCTATGGGGCAATGCTCTCATTTCCTTTTCCAAGAGGACTGTTCCACACTCTAAAGTCATCCCAATTTATCCAGATGTAATAATAAAAAATGTAAATAATGGGAATGCTACTCATCAGGATTACAGGGATTCATGCATGGATAAGCACACCAAACTCCAATAATGAGGAAAGATGGATCTTCTTAAAATGGGTGCACTGTTCTCCAGAGTCTCCCATTTGCCAGTGTTTGGAAGGTTTGTGGTTCATTTGTTTTGTTTTCACCTTATCCTTGTACCAGTAATTTAAAGTCCCTGTCCTGGCTGCTGTGTGCCCCCTCTCTCACTCTCTTCCCCCTCGATCATTAAGGAGGTAATGACAGGCAGAGTGTGATCACAACAAAGCAACTGCCAAGAGCTTGAAACACAGATGGGCCAAAAAACCTCCAGCACATTCCAGAGAGGATAGAAGCAGAACTCTCAGATTCAGATGCTTAGATTTCAGGCTACCCTTGCACACGGAATCTGAAAATCCACAAAGGATACACGTTCTGGTACAAATTAATATGGGGAAACAATACTTTTCCAAGGTAACCACTTGCTACTGACCAGCATTAATATATAGCAAAAACGTGAAATGGACCTACGAAACTGCCCATCACTCTGTTGCTATTCTCCCCCTCCACATCGCCAGCATGCACACACAACCAGAATCCACACGCCATGAAATTAACTGCGACTTACTTTTGTCACTTTTGCTTTCTTAAACTCATAAGGGGCTTTACACACAATCATTTTTACACAGATTGTGTACGCCTTGAACCTAACGGCGTCGCTTTTCAATTCACACAGTCCAACTAGGCATAACGGCTGGACTTTAAATTTGTGCCTCCCAAATCTGTCACCCAGGTAACTCACATTCTGTGCTCAAAAAAAAATTGGCAACTTAATAAAAGTCATGAACATACCCCCCCCCCAAAAGCCAATATTTGCTGCAACATGCTTTAGTCTAAAAACAACAGCTGAGTTGGGGCAGGTTTTTTTGGAATGGTAAGTGGTGATATATTAGCAGGTGATGCTTGGATAGATGAAAGTCAACTGGGATACATGAGTAGGAAAGCCTAACTGGAAACTAAGGGCAGTGGTGATAGCAGACTACAATCACTAGGACTCATTCACAGATACTGTACTGGTTTTTACATTTCAAGTGGAATCCCTTTAATTACAAGGGCAGAATTTTCTTTTTTTTCCAAAGCAAAAATGAAGGGTATTATGAATGGACTTCACATATTTGATGTACATTCCACCAGAAATTATGAGTGGAGGACAGATTAAAGTGTAGCAAAACAGAAGGTTTTCCCCACCATGCCTAAGAGCATTTTAAAGAGCGTGGTGGTTTTTTAAACGCCACAGATTAACATTGGTTAGTGAGAAGGCTCCTATAGACACAGGATGAATTAATGGAAGTCCACCTTGACTAACTGAACAAATTCGTAGATAAAGCCTATTCGACTCCATTAATCCCTACTGAATGAGCAAGACAAAGGCCACAAACACCAGAAGCAACAGAGCAATGGAAATGTGTCCCAAAAGGTTTAATGAGAACTTTAATCTATAAGAACTGAATGAAGAGGCAATCCATATTTATTTCAGATACGTTGATTTTGTAAATGGTCTGCTATTTTCAATGTGAAATCCTCACAACGGAGGCCCTTCCTCTTTACTCAAAGCAACACCTTCCCTGTGCTGGAGAGCTAAAAGCATTCAACAGCTTTTTAAACTGGAGGACCACTGCGAGAAGACCTGATGGCAGGCCCACAACTGGGGTAAGACTAGATCACAGAAGCACAGGACTGTGCTCAGCTACAGTGAGCAACCTGTGCACTTGCACTGACAGGCGCTTGATTCTCTGTAATTAATAACTGCATCGTGTTCTGGAGCTGATTACTTCTCCCAAATATGTTACGAATCCTGCGTCAACATTAATTACTCTGTGAGGTCAGCAGTGAGGGGAAGGTAAGGCCACCCCTCACTTCTCCAATCAAAAACATCCTTGTTATACAGGAAAACGTAAAGCCAATTTTTGCACAATTGCTTGTACTAAATTAAGCAGACATTGTAAGGGCTGGCGAAGGGAGGGGGAGTCGGTATGGGGGGAAGGAAAGGGAGAGGCCACACTGGGGGAAATGGAGCCAGGGAATCTGATGATGTCAGACAAGTCTCTTGGAAATGTGCGGCTGGTCATGCATCAAACAAGCCCAATTGAATAAACCAAGTGCTGCAGAAAATGACAGTGGCAGTGATATTAATATAAATATTGATATTAATGTCAGTGAGCATGGTAGCCACGCAGCAGTGACCCAAAAATCATTCTGACCAGCATGTGGAAATGTATGCCTTGCCAGCATGTTGGCCCTTTATTAAGGACTTGAGAGATCAGATCAAAGCCTATCTACTCCAGCATCCTGATTCTCCCCCAGTGCCCAGCTAGATGCCTGTGGGAGGCCCACAAGCAGCATATAATGGCAATAGTCCTCTCCCACTATTATTCGGCAGCAACTGGCATTCAGAGGCATACTGCTTCTGATCTTGGAGGCAGCATACAGCAACCACAACCAGCAGCCATCAACTGCCTTACCTCCTTGCCCCACAAATCTGCCTAGTACCCCCTTAATGCAATCTAAGTCGGTGGCCATCCAATCTTCTGATAGTATTTATTCACATCACATATGCTATCTTGAATCTCCCACTACCCAGCTGCTCAATATGACCACAGGTTTCAGCATTATGAGATTGACCTTGAACGTTACAGAGATGGCAGCACCATTGTACATTTTCCTTCTACAGAGATAACACCTCAGAACTACAGCCATCTATCTCAGTTATAGTGGTAGCCCCCTCTGGTCCACGTGTGTGTTCTTAAATCACATCAAAGGGGAAGTACACAGTCACATGCAATCAATCAATATGTGAAGATCCAACCAAGTGTGCAGAGCATTGAAGATAAACACAAACTGTGCCTCTCAGAAAAAGTTCTCCATAGTGTGAGAGAGTATTTGGTTAGAGATGTACCACACACACACACACACACACACAACATTTTGTCTGCAAAGAAAGGATGGACCTGTCAGTGAGGGCCTCAAGACAGAGCAAAACGAACACCAGAGGCAACTGACCGGGTCATTGGCTCTCAAGAAGCTGAAGTTATTTCTGAGATATTTTGCACACACACAAAAATTTACCCACATGCAAAGCACAGGCTCATTCTGAGACCGCATAGGTAATAAAGACCAGCACAGTGAGCTTGCAAAGGAGATCCGAAGCAGCAGTGCAGTTCATGTCACAGAAGCAGAAGCACTGAAATGAAAATGGCACAAAGCAGCAACGCCCCGCTGTGCAGTACAGAACAGCCCAGTGCTGTGCAGATATTTCCAAACAATTTGCCCAGTCTATTTTTCAGCGTGCCAAATGACAGCGATGCCATCAATTCAATCAAGAGACTTTCCCACACCCTGATAGATTTTGCTGTCAGGAAAATGTCTCTGCTCTTATTTGCTTTTATTCGGTTTCATTCTGCTCCTACTCATTGAAAAATCCTATCTACTCGGATCTGCCTCTAGCAACAACTTTGCTGCCTATCTTCAATGCTTAGCCATATTACATACGGCTCACTCTGCTCTTGCCCCATTTAACCTATCCATAACAACCTAAAGAACAACAGCAACACCGTCTTTCTCTTACTTGCTGTCAAGCAACATCTTTCTGCAACTGCAACTGCAATGCTCAGGCACAGGCACAATACTTCAGTTATTCTCAGGGCAACTAAAGGAAAAATGAGCAGAACTGATGTCTCCTGGCTCTGGAATTTAGTGATAGAGGACCAGCAGCAATAGTAGGAATGAAGCAGTGTAGCTGGTTCAGTTATGGTTGCTGGAGATGAACGCTCTAATCTTGCTGCAGCCATTCGCTTGCTAGGTGGCCTTGGTCAGGGTTAATTCCCGCTTTGTAAAACTGGGATGACAGTGACTTACTTTGTAAGGTTGCTGTGAGAATGAATGAAATGAGAATTTCAAACTTGTTCTTTTGTTCAGCGTGCTATAAGAAATGGCAACAACTGGGGAAAGCTCAATAGAATTTTATTTTTATTCCTGGATCTCCCAGTCAGTCTGACTCCCTAATGTGCATCGCACCCATGAATCAATGTTTCCCCATTATTCTCTTTAAACCTAGCTCCTAGCAGTTTGGAAATCCCCCCACTCTGAAAAAAAGGGTCCTATGAGCCAGCATTTGGGGAACTATCTCAGATAAGTCTCCCTCACATTTGTAGTGGTTGTTCACTTTTTAGTCAAATAAAAATACACCATGAACAGTTAACGATGGACACAACATCACAGTGATCCTGCCGAAAAACTCTCTAAGACACACTTGAGGTCAAAACAAACAACCCCCTAAGCTTATATAAGCAGCAGAATCTTCAATGTGCCCTCTCTAAAGAGAATCAAATCCTGTGGGTGGTGGGAAGTGGTGAAGCTGTCTTGCTTTAAGGTCATCAGTCTAGCCTGAGCCACCAATAAACCCAGACCCCAGACACTTCAGTTCCTTGTGAAAGCAAGAGAGAAGACTGAGAGAAACTGCAGCAGCAGGAATCCCTCCTCCTCACAGGCATAAACTCACAAAGCTCAGGAAGGCAAATGTAAGCCAAGCTCAAATGTTATCCAAGCAGACACACATACACACATTACCACACCTCCATTTCCTTCAGCACAGGGTGGTCTTCTATTCCCGGGAAGAGGACCCTCATGGCATAGGTGCGATAATCCAAAAAGGGGATGCCGGCTCCGTCCAAGTCGTTGGTCAGCTCATGGATGTCTGTCTGCAGTTCAGCAAAAGCTGGGAAGGAAAGATCAGATTAAACAAGAAGCCTATATGCATCAGCTCCCAACTGGCCAGGGAATAGCCTGCGGGCCTAATCTTGGCCAATATAGTCTAGTGTCAAAAGGCCATGGCTAGTTAAAACAATATCCCCAACTTTATTTAAGGAAAAGAAAATTAAACAAACATTACATCAGAAGCTTATTGCCCCACTAAAGAGACAGGGAAAAAAACGCAGCACAAAGATACCATGGCTTCCTCCAAAGTTATGAAGCGACAGCAGAGAAGAGAACCAAGACCCAATTTACAGAAAAGAAACCAGAAGGGATCTCTCTTGTGCCCTCTAGTCCAGTTCCATGATACTGAAGCATAGGTGGCAGGCAGGTACAAGGCCTGAAGGCTGGTGTTTCAGCATAAGACTGCCTTTGTGGCTGTACACATAAAAAGAGATGGAGAATGACAAAATGCTGGCAGAATTTTTTTTTTTAAGGAAGCCTTGGGCTAGAGGAAACAGTTCTATGTCACAGGAATGTCCTCACTGTGTTCTGATTTCACATCTCACAAGTCCTATAGCAATTGGTTTTGCTGGGAGGAGCATGCCAGAGGAGAAATGGCATCCTGCACCTTTAATGGCACCTACAAGAGGAAGCAGTTGTTTGTGCATAGGTTCCAGTGCTGTACAAGTGAGAGTTTATGGGGGGGGGATGTGGGAGGGGGGAGAGAGAAATCAAATTAATGGCACTTTAAAAAGGAAGCTAGAAGCGGCAGAGGGCTGTAGGCTGATCAGTTTGATGAGAAAAAACAAACTGTCAGCTTGAAAGGCATACTATCTTATCTGTAACTAGTGGGACTAGAAAAGAGAAAAGGCAGAGAAGATATTGCAGCTTTTAATTAAAAGCAGATCCTTTTATCTGCCAGCTGTGGAAGACAAGGCGAAATCTCCTCCACATGCTCCCCCCTCCCTCTACAATCCTCTCTGTCACTATTTCTATCTACAGGGCTATTCCCCCCCCCCTTTCCTCTTTTTTTATTATCTCATTTTAGGTGCCTGCTTCTGTCGCAGCCTCTGGGCCAACTTGGAGTTGGCAGGGTCACAGCCCCAGGCACTGGCTTGTGGCGATAATGGGCAATTAGGTTTTATCAGCAGGATCAGAAGCAGCATTCTGTCCAATTTCTCAGCATCTGTCTGTCACGTAATGAGAGACCCACAGCCTTTTGCAGGCAGGCTTCTCTCTCCCTTTAAAACTTTTCCTCTTGAAACCTCACTAACTTCCTTCAAACTGCGCCAAATAAAAATCTACCACCTCCAATAAAACTGCTCCACTTGACCCCTCTGTCTCTCCCCAAAAGGACAACCCATGAATAAGGAACCAGTTTTGCAGAAGCACCAGAGATGGAGGCACAGCCTTAGCATCAGAGTGAGCCATGGACACGCTAAGCGGAGCATAAAACCTATTGTGCTTCAATCAAAACCACAGCCAACTTGCTCAGATAGGGTTCCTTCCCATACTCAAATATACTGCTTAGATGGGGGAGCGGCAAAAAGGTTGGCCAGTACTGGCCAAATCTGACCTTCACTCCAGTGGCATCCAAGCACACTAACCTGCGATATTACGACGACAACCCAGAGGAGGGCATTAATGATGGTGAAATCAATAGTGGTCAGATTCTAGTTCTATTATTGTTATTACCTACATTCTGTCCTTCTGTTCCTCCAAGGAGTTTGGGGTGATAAAGTTTCCCCCACACCCCTTTTACAATCTTGTAAGTTCACCAGAGAGGCAATAACTGACCCAAGGTCACTCGGTGAGTTATATGGCTAAGCAAGATCTCTGAACGTGTGCCTTCCTGATCCTAATTTAGCACATCCATACACCACACTGGCTAAAGAAATCTATGTGCCAGGTTTTCGTATTTTGGGCAGGGAAGGCAGCACGAACAAAGCACTGGTAAGTGGGCAATTTTCTCCAACATCTTGCAAACATAGCAAGGATTTTTGTGATTGTTGGTTAATGATACCACTTCGTAGGTAATTAGGATACTTTATGAGCAGGGCAGGTCCCGTCTCATTAAAGCTTAGAGATGAAACTAATTGCTTAGTACGCATTCTCAGGCAAGGTTCAACCAAGTGGGAGGCTGCTGGCAGGAAGGGAACTTCTACAACAGTGCTCCACACAGGGGTGAAGTCAACCCAAGTCGCAATCATATGGATCTGCCCAATTGTATGTTGGTTGTTATTTCACAGTTAATTCCTCCAAAAAGCTTAGAGAGGCTTACGTGGTTCCCAGGTGGCCTCCTTTCCAGGCATCTGACAGAGCCAAACCTCTGCAGCTTCAAGCAACAGAAAATGGACCATGTGCCTTCAAAGCCATTTTCTGAAAGTCTCCAACAGAGGCTTACTATTGTACAGAATGTTCAACATGGAGGTTTCAATCTATGCATTGCTTCATTGCCAGTGCCAGCTGGGACTATATGGTGTTGGCAAGGAGATGCTCCATCCAACTGGATTGTTCCACATAGTAACAGCTTGCAAATATAACATTGCCATAAGGGAGTGGGTTTTGGTGAGCCTCCCAATCACCTAGATTACAGAAACGAATTGGATGGGATCCCACTAGCGGAGGAATATAATGGGACAGTCAAACTACCTGTGAAACCAGTGGGTCTCTTTCTTCAAACTCAGATGTGCCAATCATACATTATGTGGTGGAAGAGGGTTGTTTTGTTTTGTTTCAGAGCAAAAGGAGTACACCAATGGGGGGTACTGACACCCACTTCCACCTCTCTCCCACAGTCTGCCTCCCATCCAGCTGCTTTTCTCCTTTGCCAAGTTCAGATACTGGAAGTGAGCTCAGTTGGAAGAAAAACCCATGTGGGGAGAGACTAGGGGGAAGGAAGTAGAGGGTACAGGGAAGGTTCATCTCCACCTGTGGAATTATGAACCCATTTTCCTAATTGCCCAAAATGGTGGCAAAGCTTGTTGCATTTTATGGTAAGATTCCCCCCCCCCTTTTCCCCCTTAAACCAGTGTTTCTCCAGCTTGGGTCTCCATCTGTTGTTGGACTACAACTCCCATCATCCCTGGCTAGCCAGACTAGTGATCAGGAATTGTGGGAGCTGTAGTCCAGCAACAGATGGAGACCCAGGTTTGAGAAACACTGCTTTAAACGATGACATTGCTGCTATCGTTGTTTAAAAATGTATATGGAGTAAATGAAGGACTTTAGAAACTGGTGCGGCCCCAAAAATCAGGAAAAATCTCTCTCTCAAGGGGTGGGATTCAATGGGAAGTAACAGACTGATAAGTAGCAGAGCCGTGAAAAATAAAAGGAAAAAACCCGGGCCCATCATTCACACCTTCCTTGCACTCCAAGGCCACGCGGGATTCCAAGTTGTCCATCTGCAGCTGTAGACGTTTGAGGGTGCGGTCAGCATCTCGGGATTTCCGCTTGTATGCAATGAGGACGATGATGATGATGAGTAAGAGGAGACCCCCGCCCCCACCAATTCCAATAATGGCTGGCAGGGTCAACAAGTTGTCTGAATAGATCTGCAGCATCCCTGGGGAGAATTCAAAGCCCCCAGCCTTGATCTGAGAGAAAGAGAGAATATATATATTAGCATTTGAGCTCACACCTTCCTGCCAAAAAGGACTTTTATATTCCCATCCACTTGCTAGAGATGGGGAATTGCTTTCCAACATCAATAATAATGAAATAAGGGACTTGGGTAGTTTATGAAATTCGGTATTTTGGGAATCCTCCTTTTTGGGAGTGTGATGAAGGTGAAAGAACTGAGCAGTGGGTTATTGACATAGTAATTATTAAGAGAATGGCAAAGATCCCAAGGCTCTGTTGGCTGTTGGGCATAACAGGATGAAAAATGTCAGGGGAGGACATTCTTATTTTCTGAATTTTCGGTCCTTCTTATTTTCTGAATTTATATCCCTTCCATCCTCCCAAAGGTGCCTATGGACCACGCCGGGAAAAGCTGACAAGGAAGCCGTTCCCTCAAGCTGCAAGATCCAATTCCTACACAGGGGCTCAGAGGGCAAATGGCCTGTGCAAGCTCTCAACAGCGTTACAGCAAATGGCAATTCAAACTGCTTTTCAATAAATTAATTATAAAACATGCACCATTCAGAACCAAGGCAAACAGTATGCCTCTCATATTCAGGTATCAGAACGCAAGTATAAAATGTCAAATGAGAAGAGATTCTTAGACATGGTTCTCTGCCAGCATATACAGAGAATCCAGCATAGATGAGGTCTTCCAGGAACGAGCAGGAAGGGGAATGTTTTGCCCATTGCCTGCTACCCCTGAAAACGGTTTAATAGCAAGCTGCTTGCACTGAGAATGTTACCAAGGCGTTAAGTATTTCAAGCTGGTGCCCACTGCTACCACCTTGTAATCATGAGGTAAGCGAATAGCTGCCAACTTCTGAGCTGCAGAAATTTTAACATTAATAAGAAAGAGACAATTGCCACATTGGGTAGTTCACCGATTGTTGAACAAGCAACAGGGCGGGGGGGGGGGGGGCTCTGCCACTCAGTACACTCATGGTAATGGCTACTCCTGCCTAGCTACCCACATCCCAACCATCTTCTAGGTAGCACTGACTGCAGCCATGAGGGAAGCAAATGCCTAAGTGGAGACGGACAATGGCCAAACAGTGCAGGGTTAAGTCTCACATTGCCTGTTCAAAGCATTGCAAAGGGATTTGATGGGATGCAGGAACAGGCTGGTATGTTGCTGAGCAGGCAGCAAGTTTGATGTCTCATTCACAAAGCGTTGTAATAACAGATGGGATGCAAAGTGCATTCCCTGATGGATGAGGTGCCTGGAGTAAGAAACATTTTGGGTCCCTTTCAAACACCCAAGGCCACACTGAGCCCCCGAGTGAGTCAGAATTGCTGTGCCGCAGTCTAATGTGCATCCTGATTAACCCATTCATGAGTCCATTTTGTCCTGCTTCTGCTTTAATCTGTTTTTTTAAAAAAATGAAAATTCAAATGTGCATTTTATATCGAAGTACATATTTAAACATATATTCTATCTCAAGGTATGCATTTATAAATGCATTTTACCCCAACATACATATTTTTAACTGCACTTCAATCCATTTCTTGAATCAAGAACTACATCGCAAAATTCAGACAAGTGTGAAATCCAGAGGACATTTTACGCCCCAGTCGGCACATAAGTCTAGGAGGTCAGTTCACACCAGACGTCACAGAAGTTGAATTCCTCAAGGGTTTGTTTTTTTTAAAAAAAAATTAAATCTCTCCCCTTCTAAAGTCAATGGAAATAAATGAGCAAGTAATCATGACAGTTAGTTGGAGGCATCCAAAATATGAGGACGGGGCACCAGGCAGGGAATGTTATGGAGCTGGGCGATATATCAATATCCAACACCGGTTTGACGTTCACATTGTGATAATAGTTTCATAATATTTGAGCTGGCAATGTATCGCAAATTGCAATGTGTGTAAGGTGTAGGCGATATCTGATTTTCAACATCATGATAACTCACCAGCTAAACACTGCAATTGTTATCAGCAGCTAAACCTCACAATATCACCAGCTAAACATTGCAATCTACTGTACCACAATGTCTGAAATAAGGATGGAACTAAACAGAGGTGGACAGGACAATGTCCTGGCAACTGCTACTATTTAGGGATCTAAAATGGATAAATGACAATATTATCAATCATCACACACTGAGTTTCATCAGCAATCAGCAGGCAAGCCAAAATGCATCCCAACAGGACTTTTGGTTTTGGGCTTGGCTACCAAATGGTGGTATTCAGAACAATCCAAAATACACAATCATGAGCTTACTTTACCTCCACCAAAAGAAAGAGAGAGGCCCAGCTGAAGGGTAAAAATGAAATTTCCAAGAACAGTGGCACACAGGCAAAACATGCCCTTGCATGTTCACTAGCAATGGTGCTAAGTGTTTAGTGGAAGTAACAGCAGTAAGCACTAAGGAAAAGCTGGCATGTTTGCTAGCTCATTATGATGAACACCATTTGTGAAATGGTGGAGAAGACGGTTCAGTGAAGTCTATTCATGAAAAGGGACCACAGGAGAGCAGAGAAAGAGAGCACTGATCCATGCACTCCAGTTGCAACTATACCATCCAGACACAAGCTCTATAATGCAACAGAAACCACTGGAATTTGTACATCCCTCTGAACCCTGTGCAACTGGCTCAACTGACACCCAAGAGCAGCATTAAAAGCTTTGTTACAGATGAACTCATGAAGGAATCAGAAATGGGGAACAAAGGGCCCACAGAAAGGTTTTTATATGAATTGGAATAGTTTCTCTCATTCATTCATTCATTCATTCATTCATTCATTCATATATCTATCTATCTATCATCTATCTATCTATCTATCTATCATCTATCTATCTATCTATCTATCTATCTATCTATCTATCCTTCCATCTATCTATCTATCTATCTATCTATCTATCTATCTATCTATCTAAAAGCCTTCTAGATCTTTGAAGTCCCTCCTGCAGAACACCAAACACTAAGATCCAAAAAAATCATCATCCACTCCAAATCCCAAAATCTGGATTTCTTTCCTTTGGTCTGCCAAGATTTCCTACTCTGATGATGTCTCAAACAGAGAGATTACAAACATGCAAATTAATCACATAAAAATTGCATTAATAGCATGCATAATATAGTCTGGCGTGACCTTGTATTTATGCACAAGCCATGTGCAAAGTGATAAGGAATTGCTCAATTCCGGGAGAAAGGATGGAGTGTTCCATCCCTCTTTTGTTCCCAATAGAGAAACCAAATGGGCTGCCAGGGAAGCTGCTGCAGGAGGGACTGGTTCTCCTCTGCCAACCCCCAGCAGGCTAGTAAACTTTCTTTTCAAACTAGCAACCTTTGTGGGTGTATTTACAAGGTTGGTTTGGTGCACAGAAACTGGATGCGTATTGAGCGGCTGCTGACAGAGAACAGATTTCCCAAAGGCAGGATCTGGATTTGGGAATAGGTGGGAGAGAGGGAAAAGATTAAAAAGCGGGATGTGTTCCACATTCTTTGCAACCCGGACTGCACAGGGCTCTTCCAGGAGGAAAAATAATGAGCACCCGGTGCATAGTACAAGGCTGTCAAAGCAAGACAGAGAAGAAACAAAGGCCACGCCTGGCTCGCTTTACCGTCACTTTGTGCTGTCCTGTGAGATTGGGTGACTCGCAAAGAAGCTGGGTCTCAGAAACCGTAAGAGCACAGGGAGTGTCGCCAATTAGCACCGTGTAGTTTAGCCGGGAATTTCCAGGTGCTGGAGGAAGCAGGTTACGGCCCTTAAAAAAGAAACAAAAACAACACTGGGTTTACCGGCAGACTCTCAGCCTTCTAACCCACAAGGAGAGACATCTTTTCATTCAGTTCTGTTCTCTAGATCAGGGGGCAAAAGGAGCAATATCTCAGTCCACATTATGCAGCTTAAAAAGTGGTCCCAAAGCAGCCTCAAACTATCCTTAGCTGAACAGAAGTGACCAATGGGTGACAAAATGCTCAATAGGAGAGAGAATATTTGCTAACATTTGCATCACTTTCCCTGCCTTTTCCACTGTAACACAATCAATTTTTCTCCTCTCTACAGTCTTGCAGGAACAAGGTGTGAAGCCTACTGTAGCACACCATTAGTGTAAGGATTTCTTAGTTTAATGAAAAGAAACACCACTCAACGGATCCAAGAATATGTGACAAGTGTGCTCAAGACAATTTTAAGTTGAAGGGAGCAGACCAGCAAGGCTGGAGTCAACTCGTAAGTATTATAAGAGAGAAGAATTATAACGAGGATCTCCTGTTTCTCATTCTATGGCTTCATGCCTCTTCCTAGAATATAGTTTTCCTCTCCCTGTAATATTGGAAAAACTACCAGAATTTGGCAGTGCGTCTGCTGTAGAGACTGCCAAGTCTCTCCTTCCAAACAAATGTATAGATTGTGTGTGGGTTTTTTCAGTGCAGCTCATTTAACACCAAACAAAGATAGGTTGTGAAGACCACATTTGTGAGTAGAAAACTAGTTCCTTCTACTCCATCTGATTTCTCTTCCATGCTGTACTGGCAATGAAGGCTAGGAGTCAGCAGAAAGGTGTGAGTGGGGGGCGAGAATCATCCAATTATACCAAGAGTGGGGCAGAAGTAAGGACCCTAGTTATGCTAGGTGGGATAGCTTAGGCACAGCTGCAATAATGGGGCTGGGGGTAGCATTACCTTGAGGATGAGTGGAGAGCTTGGCTTGAGCTCCAGCATTCCAGAGGGGAGAGACTCAAACACAGGGTCTGGGTAATAGACAAAGCTGGTTTTGTTGATGATCAGCAAGGCCTGGACATTATCCATGACAAAACCAATTTCATCTGGGCGATCACCAAACTCTGGAGGACTCCGGACTGGGTTGTCAATGGAGGGAGCATAGCACACCATGGTGGTGTCGTTGTAGACCGTGCAGTTCTACAAAGGAAGAAGCCACTAGATTTAACCCACTGCATTTCGTTGGTTTCATCTGACTCAACACACACACACAGGAGGTTCAAGTATAATTAATTCCCAGAAGGTTGTCTGTACCGTTCCCCTTCATTGAGGTAGCAACATAATAATACGTGGTGAGAAGTGCTGGCTTAGGTAGGAGGTTCAGACTGAAGGCACTTTGACATTCTCCATCTATGCTAGGGATGGGAAACTAGGCTAGACCACAACTTCCATCATCCCTGGCCATTGGCTATGCTGGTTGGGTCTGATGGGACTTGGAGTCTAACACCACATCTGGACAAAAGAATTAGTGTGGGCAATCATGGCTGCCATGTGACTTCTAATTCCTTTTAAAAATGACTCCCTTAAGTCAAAGATTTACTTACATTCTCACTCTCAGCAGAGCCATACTTGGCTCGGATCCTGGGTTCTTTGATAGTGGCCAGATTGGTGCCTGTCACAGTCAACAGTGTACCACCACTAGAAAGCAAGCAAAAGTTGGGGTTAGACAAAAACTGCAGTGGGGTGGGCACAAGCAGCATGAACCAAACAAGGATGTCACTTCTACTCTGTTATTTTAAAAGCTGCATGGTCTCTCTTACCTTATGTTCAGGCTGGGGGAAACCAAACTACAAGATTAATTTTAGAGAGTAAGTGGTGAAAATGAGAAAGCTTTCTGGATTCCACTCATCTCCAGGGTGCACCCAACCAAGAAGCCCTACTGGCACACTTAGACCTTAAGCCAGTCTAAAAGAATACTAGGACTACCAGCATCTTCTGTGCCAGACTACCACTTCTGCATTCGTGTTCAGAACAGCCTGGACTACAAGAGATGCATCGTACAACAGGAGCTGTTTTCTGTCTATTAGCTGTGCTTCTTTTGGGTCCCTTCCAATTCTACAATTCTATGAAGATGACAATGTAGGCTGTTTTTTAAGGCTAATATTTCCGAGGACCATTTCAAAGGGACATGACATTGGGAGATCCATAATAAGATCTTACAGCTGTTTTGAGAAAAAAGCAGCTACAGAGACCCTTGAAATGGAGTCACGGCACTTGCTTGGAGGCTGACCCTTTATTCACATGTATTTTTTTTCAAATTGACCCCCCCCCACCAAAAAAAAGTTTATTTTTCTCCCTAGGAGAAAACAGTCACTCAGAAGGTAAAATGCTGAAGTGTTACCACTACTTCTAAGCACCATGACACCAATCTAATCCATCGCCATCACAGTTCCTTTAACCTTGAAAATAAAGGAGACTCTCCTGACATCACAGATCTTCTTACATCACATCTAACTATGCTTTGCACATAGATGTCATCACTTACCATGTAGAGCACCACATAGATTTTAATCAAAATCACCAAAACAGAGGGAAAATATACAATTAGCAAGTGGTGTCAGACAGCACTGGCCTACTACTTTATGTCATACCAAACACATCTCCTGCACTGGCCTAACCTATTGAACCAGGGCTTACTTTCTTCCCTACATAACTAGATCCTCTTTAAAATAACCATAATACACATTTTCAAACACACATTCAGTGGCATTAGCCGATAGCAAATTCCATTCTGAAAGAGTCATGCTCCTTCCATTTTTCATTTTGGACTTCCACATGGTGCCCAGTTGCAGAGGAAAATTTCCTGGGTCCTGCTTTGACTCTTTTGATCCTGGGCCTTAGATCACTGAAGTATACACTGCAAATAACAGGTAATTGCTGCTACAGCTCTTATGGTTGTTACATTTCATATTTCTACTATGGAAGAAAGTCAGCATCAGAATCAAAGGTCTGCTGCTTCAGGAGCTTTACAAAACTCGCCAGCAGACACAGTTCTTATGTGTGGTTCATGGGAAGCACTGCAAGGCAAAGCACCCCCCCCCTCCATTGTTGTCAACTGAGTATAGGCAAAGTGTCATTTGCAGGGATGTGATTTAACTGGCTTAATGTTGGCATTAACCTGTTTGAGACTGCTAGCTGCCCAGAGTGGCTGGGGAAACCCAGCCAGACGGGCGGGGTATAAATAATAAAATAATAAAAATAATAAAATTATTATTGTTATGGCTGGACACGGAGAATGAACATGGGAACAGCGTTTTATTCTCTACTGACAGGCTGGCACATAGGGTGCTATGCATGTCACACACCACCTCTTGCAGTGGGTTCTGGGAAGTGGGGTTCTGAGGAAATCATCCTGATTTCTGGCAGAGTGACTTAGCAAAAGGCAAAGCTTTCCAAAGTACAGCAAAGCTGCTAATAAATAGATGAATATTCCTAATATGCACATTCTTTTCTTTATTTTTATCGTGCAAATCCATTCCCTTCAGTGTTACCTGTTGATGCTCCATTCGGGGTCTATCTTCTGAATGGTGGGGTCATCAGTATAAAAATATGCCACCTCAGGGCTGCTAAGTATAGCCCGGTTTATATGGATGAGGATGGGAGACTCTCCTGCGCTTTGGCCAGGTGGTGTCCTGCACCGGATTTCAACAGAATTTCTCCTGTAAGACACAGAGAAAGAGGGAAACAAAATCAACATCTTTAGCTATAGGAAGGGTCAACAAATATTCTTCCTGCTGCCATGCCATGCCACAATCTCAGCAACAAACTTGCTGGATACTCTGCCTGGGAATCCGTGTCAAGCTTTTTGATCTCTCTACCAACACTACATGGCAGCAAAAATTTGCCCCATTAAACAGATATGTGTAGTGCACCAATGCCTTCTCACCACAAGCACCATGGGCCACAAACTGTATGTCTGATTCCCAAAGCTGCTCAGCTGAAGGGCAGACTGCTAATCTACAAAAGGGTAAAATAAGTCTACCTAAAGGTTTAGACATGGCATTTCCTGTAAATTCTAGCAGGAGCTGAGGGGTGCCCAAGGACAGCTGAGCTATTGATTGCATCAATGCAAATCCCATGTCGGCATAGCCCTGAGCTCATATATGAATAAAATATGGAAGAGAACCCATTGCTCCCAGGCCATGGATCAGGTCCAACTGTTCACGTCTGACACATAGGAATAAAGGAGTGAAGTGCCACCCTCTACATGTGGTACCCCATTTCTCCGTGACTTGGGGAAGTGATGCTAAAATTATCAGTTAACACAAAAAGAAAAATAAAGCAAAGGCAGCCGGCAGAGCCAGCGCAACTCCGGAGCGTTCCCCATCGTGCGGCTGCTGCAAACAGCAGCGATTAGAGCTGATAACCAGTAATTACTGCACGAAAATATTTAAAGAGCCGCTCCATTATCATCCCTAATCTAAAAATTATCCACTTCATGGCTCAGGGATTTCTGCTTTTTAGAGGGAAAAGAAATTCAACAGTCTTCGGTCTTTTTAACCCCCCCCCAAAAAAAAATGTGCCTTGAAAAGAATTACACGGGAGTTTTTGCTTGGCTCCTTAAGACTGGTACCTTATTTTAGAAGACATACTCTCTCACACATACATCCTTGCATCCCCTTCGTTCACATTGCTCAGTGCGTTTGGAGCACTACATTCCACAATGGTTTCCACCCATGAGAGGCTCACCTTGGAAATGCGCACTGTTGCCCTCCAATGGTTACTGTGATGTCACTTCCTGCATCAAGGTGCTTTCCTTTTATGCTGATCCAGGTGCCCCCAGAGACAGGGCCCCGAGCTGGTGACACTTGCGAGAAAGTGGGAGTCTGTCAAAGGGAAACACAGCAAGTTCACAGAGTTCAGAAGGTGTCCTTGGTGCCCAGGAACAATAAAAGTGAATGCTGAAAGGGAAATGCTGGCAAAATTCCTCTGACCTCAGCCAATTTGTGCACCACAGGGCCACATTACATTCTTTCACTCTACTGGACACCTCTTGATAATAAAAAGTGGGTCAGATAGTCAAGCGCATAGGTGGCCTTGCAAAATTTAGATAAATAAAACTAATTATAGGAGGGAAGTGGGGTTCAAAGTAAGGAAAGGTGATAGAAAAGAATACATCCTTACCACAAAGGTGAAGCTTTTCGGGGATATAGCCTTGTAGCTGGGGGAGCAGTCCCTGACACAAACTTCCACAGGGGCCTCTTGGATTTTGCTTGGGCTGGCTTCTCCAATCTCACAGACGATCCTAGGGAAGGCACAGTAAGTGATTGTGTAACATGTACGCAATGTCTCAGCAGAGCTGGCCTGCAGTTCTCAGGCCACCTGCTCAGGCCAAGAAGCCAGTTATTTCTGCTCTAATTTATAGTAAGGACAAGCACTTGTCGTCACATTTTCCTGGGCTGTTGCTGTTGCTTTTTAATTAAATGCCATTTCACAATTTCAGGAAGTGATTTCTCAGCACATATCAAATTGACTTTTGAACAATAGGCATATCAAAACTGCAAAATATATAAAATATTACGAGTGCTGTAACACTCAACTCAGCAGGAAATCAATTAAAATTTAACAAAATACAAAGAGAAACAGAAAAGAACCCCTGTTTTCCCTCCTCCCTTACTCCTATTGCAGTTGTGTTAATGCACCGTCCATAAATTAAACAATGCGGAAAAAATCCTACACATTTCCAGCACTCGTATTTGAAATCACTGCTATCTGCATATGAAAGGAAAGGCACCCACATGTTCATAAATTGATTTCTCTTATTAAATCCTCTTGCTTTTTGAACTTGCTCTGTAAATTTATACATGTTTTTAAATTGGAATAGCCTGAGTTGTTAAGACAGTAGAACAAAGAAGGATATACAGAGAGAAAAGGAAGTTATTGCTTCCAGCTGGCTAGCCAGAATTGATCAGCTTTAGATAGTGCAGATCTCCCAACACACATCAAGGACTTTGCTAAGAAGCCAGAAAATACCTTCAGAATATCCAGAGCGGGACTTTTAGCTAATGCTAACTCTGCAAAAGAACCCACCACCACTAAGGATAGAAAGTTAAAATCTTCCAAAATCATAGCTTCAAGAAAGCCTGTGAAAGACTGGAAGACTAACTCTTCCAGTCAGTCATGTAGAGCCATTCACCAAATATTTCTTACTAATGAAGTCAGATGAATCATTCTCATAAAATGTTGCAAAATACACTCTTCCATCCATCTTTTTTCTCCAAACAACTCAAGAGAGGTGCTCATTCACTTGTCATCCTATTTATTATCGTAACTTCTCCATGTGGGGAGGTTAGGACAAGAGAGACAGTCGTTACTCCTATGGTTACCCAGTGAGCTTCATAAGTAAGCAGGGAGCCGAACCCAGTCCCAGTTCAACTCTTATGGACACTGGTCCTTCACATCCCACGATGTGCTGGCAGCGACATTTAGACCACCTGGTCACAGTAGCCACCTGAACTTCCAGGAGTAATGCTGCATCTAAGAACACTCCCAAATAGTGAATCTGATTCTTCAGAGCTAATGCAACCCCACCTCAGACTGGTTGGACTCTCAGTCCTGAATCAGCTTCTCTACTGAACAATTGCACCTCTGTCTTATGTGGACTGAGGCCCTGTTAGTCCCCATCAAGTCCTTCACTGCATCCAGACGACGGTTCAAAATTTCCACCACTTCATCAGATTAGTTGAAAAGGAGAGATAGAGCTAGGTATCATCAGTGTATAGATGAGGCCGTACCCTGACAGCTTCATGTAGACATTAAAAAAAAGGAGGGGTGAAAAAGAGCCACAAGCCAACAACTAAGAGGCTGAGCAACACATCCCCCAAGACTACCTTCTGAACTTCTTCCACAATAAAATGATGTTCCCAGTGCCTATACCAGCCAAGCATCCCAGGAATTCTCCATGGTATCAAACGCTGCAGAACCAACAGGGATAAACTCCCCAACTAGTTTCTGGCACAGATAATCCACCAATGCTGTTTTGGTCCCGAAACTAAGCCTGAAACCAGACTGGATAAGAAACAGATATGACCTCATCAACCCTAAGCAGCATCTTTAGCAAAAGCTTTTCTTTAGCAAAGCTTTGGCTTTTATCTTGGTCCAGCAAACCAGAGGACCAATATACTACTGAGATATTCCCACAGCCCATCCCTTCATTGCCAGCCCTCTTTTGGAGGTTACTTACTGCTCAGCACTGATGTATTCACTCTCGATGGGCATGCACGTCACTTTGCCAACCCACACACCCAAGCGTACGTCCTCAAACTTCAGGCCCAGGTTCTCTCCAGTGATGGTTAAGCGAGTACCGCCCTGCCGGGGGCCTGTTTCAGGTGTCAGCTAGGAAGAAACAAACCAGACTGTTATTGGATTCATTAGGCCATTGTCAACAGTTTGCCTGCATGCCATAACAACTCAGCAGCTCACCCAACATTTATATATCTAGGGCTTATTTAAATATCTACTGCTCCATGCAGGTTACAAAATAAACATATAATCAGGTAAACTAAAACGAAGATAGCAAATGCTTAAAACCCAGATAGGTGTTCTGAATAGGTTGCTGTCTTCCAAGCAGTGATAATAATCCACCTTTCCCACCTCAACCTGTTGACACAACATCCTCTTCTCTGCTCCCCACAGTACTGCCACACAAACCAGGTATTGTTTTACACCAACTATTCACCATCTGCATGGTGGTAAGAACTTTGGTATTATTAAGGACAACCAGTGCAATATTTCAGCTTTGCCCTGAAGGACCGAGTCCCAGTCATTCCCTTCCAACCACAGCAACTGGAGAGAAGGCATCTGGGCTGTGCACACGGTGAAAATACATTTTACATTTCTGGAAAGCACCAGGAGTTTCATTGTGCTGGAGCACAGTAAAAAGAAAATAACACCCATGCATCTATCCCCCTGTGAATAAGCTTCAGGACGCCTAAACCACATGTTTGGAATGGCTGGACTGTTGATTCTGCTAATGTTCAAGCAGGTGGCTCCAAGGTATCACAATGGCTAATGTATGTAAGCTGTTGATTCGCTCTGGCTCACTCTGTAGGTATGGTGACATGAAAATGGAAATAGTAAAAGTTTTTTCCCGTAGCATGGCTTGCTCATGGTCTCAGCAATGGACTATCCTTCAGAATGGCACAGAACATCCCACTTTTTTTCCTTTTTTTTTTTTTTTGCATTCTGCATATCCTTGGCAAGGGCAGTGGACACTTGCAGAGAGGCTATTTTTCTTTCATGCTGTGAGTTAACAGAGGGAACGTAATCTCTCCAGAGCCCTCCCCACCAAGGGAGACACCAGTTAACCCCTGTATAGTGGATCCTCTCTTCCCCTACCAACTCTGGTGTATCCCAGCATGTGACGTTTCTGACAGCACCAGCTGGGGAGGGAGGGGAGCCCCAGTGAGCACGATATGCCTCATTTGTTAAGATGATTCCCAATAAAGCGGACAGGTGTGGCTTGACACACACTGCGTGATGACGGATGAGCAGTGTGGCACGGGCCCACCATTGCCACTAACAAGGCAATTATGGGCAATTTTACACCACATTTTACTGGCCCCCTGGTGCTCAGCACACACCTGCAAGTGATAAGACGATTAATGGGCATGCAGGTGGGGAAAGCTCTGTGCTGGGTCACTGGCAACCCCAAGCCAAGGGAAGTGGGCTCCAGGAGAAAGAAGCCTCAGCATAATCAGAAAGAGGCCTAGCAAAACCAACTGCAGATTGCTTACCTGACCAGTCAACATTAAAGCTACTGGTCCCCACTGTTCCTGCTGGCTCTGCATACAGCCTAAACTTTCTAAGCTGGTGGGAAGTAGCAACCATGCCTGAGAACACATCCCCATTATTTGTTTAAATCTGCATCCTGCCAGCTTCCAAATGTTCAGAAAGGATCTCATGTTTAAAAATAGACCGAAGGCATCAAAATATCATCAAGACAAAGCCACTACAGGCCTCCCATTGCTGCTTCCAACAGAAAAGCCTTATATTATCTACAGATAATGCACAGGCTCTGGCAAACCTCCAGGAGCAGGGATTTCTATAATTATGAGGCAGCCACAAAGTTACCTCACTACACGCTCTTGCACAGATTGCCTTGTTAGGAAGGCACAGACTGTGTTGATTTTAACAGTAAAGATGTGCCATAAGATGGGAAAGAGATTTCTAAGGCATGTGTGGGCCAAACTTCTTAGTTCTAAGCCAGTATCTTCTATTGTTGCTGGATACCTAGTAAGGCACCAATGGAGATCTTGAAACATAAACGTAATGAGAAGCAGCCCTCCAAAAATTCATGCCTGAGGCCGATAATCCAAATGGCAACTCTGCCACCACTACCGATGGTGGTAAAATATATTAATAAAATAGCTGGGGGTGGGGGCAGGAATGGCTGCCTTTTAATGTTACCCCAAACTATGCTGCTTCAGGCCTTACCATGTCTAACAATAGGGCCACAGACTTGAGCAAAAATACATAGCAGTCCTGCAGTCCCCATGCTATCTCACTGTGTATCAGGCATCTCTTCTGAATATTTGTCAAGGAGGGTAGCAGCATGCAGAGTGTGCTACAATAATAAGATGGCAAAAGGCTGCTCATGTATGATGCAACTCTTTTCTAGCTGGGGAGATCTCAGCGTCTCCACCCCCATCGTTCTATCCGGACACTGAGGTCCAGCACCGAGGGCCTTCTGGCGGTTCCCTCACTGCGAGAAGCCAAGTTACAGGGAACCAGGCAGAGGGCCTTTTCGGTAGTGGCGCCTTCCCTGTGGAACACCCTCCCACCAGATGTTAAAGAGAACAACAACTACCAGGCTTTCAGAAGACATCTGAAGGCAGCCCTGTTTCGGGAAGCTTTTAATGTTTGATGTATTATAGTATTTTAATATTCTTTTGGAAGCCGCCCAGAGTGGCTGGGGAAGCCCAGCCAGATGGGCGGGGTATAAATAAATTATTATTATTATTATATTATTATTATTATTATTATTATTACTACTACTACTACTACTACTACTACTACGCTCCTCCAGTAGCCGCCCCCTAAAGACAGGCAAAATTTATGTTAGGCCTGTACTCTCAGAATCACAGGTCCTCAGACACTCCTTGCCTCCAGAATGGGGAACTTTCATTCTACAATATGGGCCATCATTTGGAGCAGACAGACTTGGGAGAGGGTAAGTAGGAAACCAACAGAGAGCTATTTCCTCCAGCCCCAGGGGGCAGTGCAAACGTAAAGAACATCTCCTTCAACATACCTGACCAAGGCATCAACATGAGTCATTAAAACATAACACTTTATTTTTCATTCTCCGACTCTTGCCTCACAAACACCATCCAAGCCTCATTAACAAAGCAGCAAAAGGAGGCTATGCTGGAGAATTACCAGCAGCCAAGGCACAAAGAGGTTGTAGCATGCCCAAAGCCAACTTGGATTAGGCATCCAAAGCCCACAAACCCTGGCTCCTTTCTCCGCTCCCTGACTTGCAGGCTGCTCCACGAGTTAACTTACAAGCAGGCCTAGGGCAATCACATGCTATGCCTCAGAATTTATACAACAGTCAAACCGATTTGAGCTTTGGGGGTTTGCTGCTCGCCTAAATTCAATCCAATCATCTGCTAAAGTCCTGGATCAGAACTCATTAAGGCAGCTGCTGCAGCAGGCAACCCAAGTCATTCTTTCCTAAATTGGGCTCCTCTGGGATACTTGGTGAGCCGTGGCTGTTTGTTTGGTATTGTTAAATTAGTGTTAAAGGCTGCCGTGGTATGTTAGATTTCCCCTCCACTGCAGCAAAACTGACAAGGGCCACACGTTTGGGGAGCAGCAACTCTGGGAAAAAGTTGACACTGCTTGACATACTGTGTGGGGAGGTCGCGGCTAAACAAGGCACTTGGGAACCAGAGCTGGCAGGGAAATCTGGCTCTTTCTTGAACCGTCTCCCCTTAAACACTCACACACAGAGTCACAGAAACAGGCACTCTCCCACCCCAGCTCCATCCCTGACAAACAACAGCACTCTTTTGCTAATTGGTTTCAGAGCACAAACCCTTCAGATCTGCCAAATGAAGTGGACACAAGATATATCAGTGCCCAAAAGATGAGATAATGAATCATCAACTAACCGGTTTGGCCATTTGATCATTTCATTTCAAAATGGCCCTCCTGTGCCTGAATGCATATATTCTAGCTGAGAATGTACCACTTAAAACTGGAGCTTTGAAAGCACACAGAAGCGACCTTCCATCTTCTTGTGCAGCAGCAAAACTTCTATTAGGAGTCTCCAAGATCAGGCTTTCAAAAGTGAAGCGATACTGACATCGGTAGCACGGCTACTTAGAATGATGGGTTTGCTTCCCAAGCTGTGTTAAGAAGAAAGGCACTACATTTGGGCTTGATTCTGGAACATAGCATCATGCCAGGTTGATAAAAGACAAGTCTGGAAGGTCTAATGGAGTACTGACTCGCCACCGTAAAATTAAGGCTAAACTCGTTTATTTGGCATAGTATTATTGTTCTGAGGAGATAAGAACATTGTAAAGCCTTCTGCACAGTAACGGTGCTACAGAGATAGTGAAAGCAAAATGCAAGCTGATAAATTATTTCAGCAGGATATCCAATGGCTCTAGTCTTAACTCAAATGGTACTCTTCTGGAACCCTTGGAGTAGAAGGAATCCGAGTGCCAAGCAGAAAGTTCTCCACCTGTTCCAGACTAATGACCCATACAGTTTAACATTTTCCAGGAGAAAAGGTTACATATTCTATTTCTTTGTGCATGCTGTGCCCATCATTCATTCCACTGCACTGAAGCTGATCTTATTGCAAGGGTAGCCAACGTGGCGCCCTTTTGGTGTTGTTTAGGTCCAACTCCCATTACTATTGGTTACACTGGTCAAGGCTAATGGGAGCTGGAGCCCAACAACATCTAGAAAGCACCAGGAAGTCATCAACAATTGTCTGGAGAAGCACCTACGAAGGCTGCATGGCCTTCAAGGCTTCAACCAGAGCAACAGTTGGAAAAAGCACCAACGTTAAGTCCCCAAACTTGGAATGCATGCATGGAAAGGCACACTACTTGATTTGCCCACACAGGGCTTACAATTAGTGTGACAAGTTCTTAATTTAATTTTAATTATTTAATGATGCAGAGAGTATCATTAAAACCTAATGCTGGCAAGTGCTCAAAAATTGGCAGGTAAACAAAATGTGCGTTATCAACACCATTTAGTAGCCTTGACACTACATAATGGTTTTAGGTTCACAAACCTCTTCATGACAGCCCCACACTTCACATAACAGGGTTCAGTCAGAATTGGTTCTTGAGAGCTTCATACCTTGCAATCAGGAGTCAGTGTGAATATCTTAAATCAAGATTTAGGATTCTAGTATCATACACTTGTCTAAAAGGAGCTTGTGACCCAGGAATAGATGCAGTTCTTCACACAGTGAATACTAAACTACGGAATGTGTTCCCACAGGAAGTAGTAATGGCCACCAACTTGGATGCCTTTAAAAGAGGTTCAGACACATTCATGGAGGACAAGGCTATCAATTGCTGTTAGTCGCAATGGCTATATTCTCTCTGGTTATGCCCCTCTCTGTTTAGCTTCTCAATGTGAAATTTGGAGGGTAGAAACAAACGAGGGACTTTCTGGTGGCAGCCGTTGACTAAGGAATACTCTCCCTAGGGTAGCTTGCCGGACACCGACATTGCTGCCTTTTAAGCATCAGGCTAAGACTTTACTATTCTCCCAGGTCTTTTAAGATCAGACTTTAAGTCCTGTGGCATATGGTGGCTTTAGCGCATGCATCTGATGGCTGTTTTAGTTCTGTGCTGTCTGTGGCATTTTATTGTGCTGGTTTTGTACTTTGCTTTTATGTCTCTTAATCTTACTGTGGGTTTTATTGTAGTGTGGTTTTATTGTTGTGTTTTCAATCTCTGCTTGCCACCTGGAGAATTTAGTTTATGAGTCATCTCATAAACACAACCCACAATCAAATAAATGCCTATTTACAACTCACCACCTTGCTGTAGTATTGTCAAAATGATATCCCTTGCTCTACCTTTTCCCTCCACCTCCCCTTTCTTTGTGTTCCTTCTTCTTATTATTTTTTAAGTTTGGAAGCCTGATGGAAGGCTCCCCATCTCTCTCTCTCTCTTCTTCCCTCTCTCTTTAATTGATGAGAGCTGCTTTGAAGAGACCATTTGTCTGAAAAGCGGTATAAAAATATAATAAAATAAATAGTATTCAGCCACTGTATTTGAAACATCCTGAGCACCCTAAAACACTGTATAAATGCTAAGTACTATTCCACTGGAAATCTGTAATATAACTTACGTGATTTGAGACGGTAAGACTCCCCTGTCATTCCCCCACCTCCCATCTCCAGTGTTACAGTCATTACTTCTTTTTATAGAAGATGCAGACACTAATTAGGCAGGCTCTCTCCCATCAGTTTTTGTGGTGGGCTGGGGGCTTCCAAAGAGTGAAGGCCTTGGCAAACGCAGAGCAGGGCCCCACAATGCCAATCAGCAATAAGAAGCAACTAGCTTTGGGGAGTGCAAGAGGCACTACTCTAATTTCCAGCCTTCAACAGATAAGACACTGAAACCCAAATAGATGAGATACTGTGCTAAGACTCTGGTAATTAACACCACCAAGGCCTGCCTGGCTTGCAGTATATGGGTAAATAGAACATATCAAATAGAATTACCTGCCAATCCCTGCTAATGCACTTGGAGCCTGGCCCAACCAACATGTTAACATTAATATACACAATCTTATTAAATGAAGGTCATAGCAGCTGTCAAGAGAAGAGGGATGATAAACAACCAGTCTTAAGGAAGTGAAAAGATGGGTGGCTAAAAACTGTGAACACAACCGGGGTGGGGGGTGAGGAATCCACGACACACCAAACCTCATCTTCTTCCAGAATCCTATTTGCTAGGAATCCTGTGAAACAGGCCAGAATGGGAATCAAGCTTTCACTGTCAACACAGGAGAGAAAGAAAGTGGTATGCAAGCCAAAAAATATATACTCCTACTACTCTGCCTGTTGTAGTATGTCGACAGAAAGTCATTCTAAGCGAAATTTCAATATGTATCATCAGTCCTGGAAACAAAGCCCTCTCATAATGCGGTGAATCTGAGTCCAACCCCTCTTTGGAATGCCTGTCTTCACCAGCACTGGCCTATGAACTTGCACAGGTCACAAGTGTCACCTGATATTATTCATCTCCATCCTATTTATGTCTTATTTAAAAGCGTACACTTTGCCTGATTTTCACAACATATATAACAATACCCATTAAGAGCAAAACGTTGACATCGAAAACCTAAGCCACAGTAACAGATTCCAAAACGACCATGCTTCTATAGATCAAGAATGGCGAAACAGTGACCACTGACCATGATGAGAGTTGTAATCCCAGCAATGCCTGGAGGGCCATGGTTTCCCCATCCCTGCTATAGATGAAGAGAACAAGGAGAATCTGGAAGTGGGGGAAATGTCAATTGGGGTTAGGAACAGAAGACAGGATAGCTCCATCCAACTCTGACCACTGAACCACATTCCACTGATTCTCCATTACAATCACCGCTGCATTGCCCCATCAGCGGCATATCACAGGAGACACTAATTCTGCTTGTTACTGTTCATTGAGCACTCACTGGTTGGTGGGAAGAAGAGGCTTCGCACCAGTTATTGGCATCTGAACAAAGAAAGTGTCAGGAGAATACTACATCTTGTATCATATGCTACAGAACTGCCCACCACCATGTACCCTCCACCATAGGCGATTTCCTATTCAGCACTGAGGATAAAGGAGAAGAAGAAAAACCTCCCCCCTGCTTACCCTTCACAAGCATACCTTAATGATTTTGGGGTCCGCACAGCGGCTATTGCCATTGCTGGCATGCATCCAGCTGCTCTCAGAGGCTGGGCAATGTTGGCGCAGGGAACATCGCTTTTCTGACACACACCAGCCACACTCGAAGCGTGGATCTGCCTTGAGGCACAGCCCACAGCTTTCACGCAGAGCTGAGCACTTGTATAGGTGAGCTGCAAGAAGAAAACACAAATCCCTGCTTACATTCAAAAAGAAGTTGGGGAGTGGGGTGAGGACAGATCTGCTACGCGGATTCCCCCTCTGATGGGTAATTGTTGACAGTGCCCACTAAAGGACCTCAGGGTCTACCACTTTCCATATGCTTTGTCGTATCAGGCCAGTTTTGACAGTATTCACTGCCTGTATAGTTTTCAGCTTTCACTACTGAATACAGCCAGCAAGGGATTTGTTTATGATGCAAATGCCTATCCACTAATGAAGGGATAACCCAGTGGTGCCCTCCACATGCTGCTGGACTACAACTCTCATCATCCCCAGCCTATGGCTATGGTAGCCGGGGATGCTGGGAATTGCAATCCACCAACATATGAAAGGCACAACATTGCCTTTCCCTGTGCTAGGATCTCCGCTGAAAGCCACAATCAGGGTCACAAATTTCAAGTGGTTTGAACTGGCATAGTTGTCACGGCTTCCCCAAATGACTCTGAGGTTTACGATTTTGTAAGAATGTTGTGAATTTATTGGTGTGTGTGTGTGTGTGTGTGTGTGTGTGTGTGTAATAATCTTTGCCCATTACAGAACTAACCTAACTATCATGTCCTAAGTTCCTTGCAGCGGGAGCCAGGATCGTAAAGCAGCCTTCAAAGTGATTTCGTTTTATGTCTAGGAAGTGAACATGCATTTAAGTCTCAAACGAGTTATTGAATGGCTGGGCATGTTTATAAGGACAGCACACTACCGAGAAAATGTTTCGGAGCAAGTACACCGCGTTTGGAGGGTCAAGGCGCTTTGATGGGCAGGAGAGAAACCAGTAATCCCCAGACCACCACTTCTAACTTTGCTCTGTGTTAGAAAGCTTGTTTGCTCAGGCTAGCATAATATTTGATTTTACACCTGTAGGGGTGCACTGGTGTCAATCTGGCCCTGAGGTGGATGGCTCAGAAGTGGAATGCAGAAGCAGTTCATTGCAGGGAACTCCTGCTGTATCTTGCTAAGGGTGCTCCACCCCACCCGACTTCATCAGCTTACCCTGGATGTTCTGGGGATTGTCAATGATGAAGTTCCCATTCCATACCACGGAAAGGTTCACCGGGAGGTCACTGATGCCATTCCCTTCATAGGAATACTGCCAGAGGAAACACAAGAGAGAAGAGTCCATTAGGCACCCTCAGACAGAAAGATACAGATATACATCAGGAATCAGACCACAGACCACAGGGGAGCTTTGCATTCTTCTGGCTCGTTCTAAGTGTACCCATCTGGATCTGTGGTTGCCAGGGATGATGACACGTCCCAAGCAAGACACTCTAGTCAAATACAAAGTCTCCAATATCCAGGGGCCTCCTCCTCTCCAAAAGCAGCACTTACATTTCCAGCTCCCAGCTGCTTCCTAGAATTCTGCCAGAATGGAAAACGTTTTCTGATGAAAAGGAATTGGAGTCTGGAATCCAATGCATCTCAAGAACCTCCCCCTGCAAATCTTCTTACTTGCACAGACAATATTGCAAGAGTTTGGATATGCTTTCGTATAGCTCTTCTGCCTCTCCTATAGCTAGCAGAAACAGAATCACTGGTGGGAAATAAGCAAATCTATTTGAAGTCACGTCATGTGCATAATTTATTTGCATTACAGACTCCAGCTTCTCTTGGCACAGGAATTAGGTTACCTGGGTGAAGAATTTGTACTTTAAAAAAAAAAAAAAAGCACTGCTGGCATACACTCACTGTGGACTAAGTGGCTTTCAGAGCCCCTCCAATAGTGTACAGACCTTGTACAATATTGTCACTATGGTGATATATAATAAAAACTAAACATGCTAATCATTTGATTCTGATTAACATTCAGCGTTCATGTTGAACCTGGCTCCTCCGATGAAAGGAGGAGGATTTTCTGGTGAACTGTACAAACTGAGTGACAGTGATATCTCAAACTAAGCAGCAGCTGGAGTCATCACTCTCTGCTCTCCAGAGCTGGCAATATTAGATTCTGCCTTCCTAGGGTCTAAGGAAATAAAGCTCCCACACAGAAAACGAAAAAGCAAGAGCCTAAAGCGGACAATAGCTCTGTGAGGGCAGGGTTGTAGAGGCAGACAAATTTGGGGTTATATCTTCATCAAGCAGCCCCACAAGCCCTTGTCCCTCCCACCCAGTGAAAAGATACACCCAATCTCTAGCCCAAGCCAAACTTCTGGCAGCCCCATCAATATTCCCTCCACAGTGCCTGCGCGCATGTGGAGGCTTAATCGATACAGAGACAGGAAGGCAGTCGGAACCTTCCCTGACAGCTAATGACCTCCTTCGGCGAGAGATTCTCCGCTTCTCTCCGGAGAAAATGACAGGCGTGTCAGGAGAGATTAAATGAAAGATTCATGGCTTGCTGGAGTTTGTTAGGGAGCTATGGACACTGGAGAATCAGCTCTCCCTGTGCCTTGGATCCTTTCCCCCCTCCACCCCACCCACCTACCCTCAGCCCATGGCACTGAGTCTGCCTTGATGAGGACACAGAGAAGTGAAAGATGAAGGCAGTGCGTATGGTCCCCTCCCCTCCCCGCATATCCGTGCCCCCAAGCACCCTTTCTCCACATCCTCCTGCCACTCAAAGAAGGTAGAAGCTTCCACGCCTCAGCTTCCTTCAAAGCCTATTTTGTGCTTAATTCAGTGATAAGCGCAAAGAAACAGAAGGGACTCTGGTTTTGCATTTTTGATTGAATGCTTTACAGTGTAAAGCGTTCAGGTGAAAGTACAGAACTGGCGTAAGAAACCTACCAGAGAAAGGCCGAGCTCCTGAGAAAAGACCAGGGTGTTTCTCATAGGACAACCAATCGCAAAATAATCCCATTACAAACAGTAGGGCATAACTACTTTACAGATTATATGTTTACATCATGCTCCTTCAATTTCAAAGAGTGCAACATAGGCAATACTGTATATAGTAAGACATTCACTGTATATAAAAGGTAAAGGTACCCCTGCCCGTACGGGCCAGTCTTGACAGACTCTAGGGTTGTGCGCCAATCTCACTCAAGAGGCCGGGGGCCAGCGCTGTCCGGAGACACTTCCGGGTCACGTGGCCAGCGTGACATCGCTGCTCTGGCGAGCCAGAGCCGCACACGGAAACGCCGTTTACCTTCCCGCTAGTAAGCGGTCCCTATTTATCTACTTGCACCCGGGAGTGCTTTCGAACTGCTAGGTTGGCAGGCACTGGGACCGAACAACGGGAGCGCACCCCGCCGCGGGGATTCGAACCGCCGACCTTTCGATCGGCAAGCCCTAAGCGCTGAGGCTTTTACCCACAGCGCCACCCGCGTCCTTTTCACTGTATATAAGTATGGTCTAATCAGTAAAATTCAGCTGCCCTAAGGTGTTGAACATGACAGTCTATCCTGCACAATAATTTTGAAGGAGAAAATAAGTGTATCAGCCAAAGTTCCCATTCAGGAACTAATTTCTTTAATATGCTTTTATACCATCCTACAATAAAAACTCCCAAGGCAAATGATGGTGTATTTGTCATTTCCCTAAGTTTTGACTTACAAAAACATTTCAAAACAACTATAAAAACAAAATTCAACCTAGAATGCTCAAAGTAATATGCATAAAAGAGCACTTTACATTTTAAAAGGTAATTATTATTTTTCAATTTTTTAAAATGTAACTTTAGCATTAAAAAAAATGGACTGATGACACAACTGAGCAAAACTTCTGCTCACACAAGGGAGTGCCTTCTTCAAAATGATGCTTTTGCACAAGCCATCAATGTTATTCCAAGATCTATGCAAAAGTCCACTGTTCATTTAATGTTCTAAACAAACTGAGCCCTTCCTTCCCCAGCTCCTTGAACTGTGTGCATGTACATCCAGAGAGATGGTTTTCAAAGCATCAAACGGCACTTCAGACGAGTTTGCTCTGGATCGTGGAAGGATTCAAATGTACTAGGATGTATCCAGCTAAGCTCTAGTAAGATTGACCCATAGAAATTTGTAGACCTAAGCTAGTCATGTTTGTTCATTTTAAGGGTTAGATGTGAGTATGCCTAACGTTGGATACAGCCCAGCATTGCCTGTGTTTTATCTCCTGGAGACAGTTACTTCATGAGCATCATGACTGGCTATAACCATGATATACTATGACTTAGTATATCAAACAAAAAGTTCACTGCCAGGTCCAGCAATTTAATTTACATCATTGACTGTGAATGTTCAGTACATAGGTGAAATGATAACTGAAGGAAACCAGCCGTTAAAACTGGGGAAGCACCTCTAGAAGAAAATTACATGTTTGTGTATGTACACATATACGTATAGGAGACTCTCCAGGAGTTTGAAATATGATTTATTTCAGGACTGACATGTTTGGGAAGAAAGCTTTGCTCAGGGGCACAGTTTTATAAGCAATTTTCACCAAATGCATGAGGACTCTTACTACTGCAAAACACTGCTAAAAATGTGCCCCCAAGGATGGATTTGTTCCGAAACACATTGGGCCTGGAATGAACATTATTTCAAACACCTGGAGTCCCTCCTCTCTTATTTTCCATGTTAAACACAGCAACTGATGCACACAAATGCTTTAGGATTTCACACAGCCAATCTTGTGGGGGGGGAATGTAACAACCAATTGGAAAACACTTCCATTCAGATAGCCACACCCCCTCTCTGATTTATCCATTATTGCAATGGCAATGCCACCCGATCCAAGAACACTGGAAACAAGGGGGGAAATTCTGGCCCAGTGGACTTGAATTCACAGCTGGGCAACTGAGGAAGGCAGGAGGCGAAATGTTCTGTTCTAAAAAAGTAATCTTTTAGTCACTGTTTATATTTACATCTGTACCTAGATAAACATATACCCAGTACATTCCAAGCAACTTCACACAAATTCCAGAAAAAGAATTTATGCAAATGGGCTGGGCAGCGCCGAAACAATCAGAAGTTCAGATAAATGGGGGTACAGCTACTGTAAGCTCACATCAATAAGGCCTTTACGCAGTACAGGAGTTAAATATGGATCACTAGAAGATAACTGACATTCAGATAATATGGATGAGGGAAGAGTTTCTGTGTACCTTTTCCCTTCCCATTCCTTTGTAGCTGTGTCCCACTAAGATTGGCTGAAGAGACCCACTGCAGAAATAACCCAAGAAGTCAGGCAGATTTACATTAAGGAGAAGCACCCATCATTCGGTAAGTGGGGGGGGGAGGGGCGGCAGAGAAGGATTTAGCTGTGACGAGCAGCGTGGCAGAGTAAGTGAAATTGGCATTTTCAATTTGTACTCTGACATGTCTCATTTGGGGCACTGGCATCTCAGGAAGGCATACAGCCTGCAGCTGTCCGAAACACTTATTTGCATTTCTCTGCCCTGGCTCCTTTTGGAAATGAGTTACTTCTGATTTGGGTGTGGAGTAGGGGGAAGCGGGGAAAGATTATTTAACCCTCCAGGTGCCTGCATTGACAAAAGAAACTCACAGGTAGGAGAGAGGTGCATTTCTGCTTCAGGAAATGCAGGCCTGCCTTCCTTAGTAAGCAAGATTTGTGGGAGATTGGAAACAACATGTTGCACAGGTTTTGACTGAGTCAAAATGAAACTTCACACTATGAGCCAATAATTTATCAAGACAAAAGTCTCCCACAACCACTGTGCACAATACTGATTCCCACATAAATGATCCCAAAGATTGTTAGGTAACTGATCCAGTTCATTTTATTTTATATATATATATATATATATATATATATATATATATATATATATCTGAAATGCTTATACCCCGCTTTTCCTCATATAGTTCAAGGAAGCTTGCAAAAACAAAAGACTATATTAAAAGCAGCATAAATGAATAAAACAACTTTGTTCTATCTTTAACAATATTAATATTTTATCTGCTCTGCTGCGGCTTCACGTTAATGTTTAATTGCTGTGATTGTTTTATTGTCTTTTAATTCATCATCATCATCATCATCATCATCATCATCACTATTTGCCCTCTGAAATAAGCAGCACTACACTTTTCTTTCCCTGCCATCATTATCTGGCAAGAGAGTGGGTTGTGGGAGAGAGTTGAACCCACAACAATCTTCAAAATCCAGATCTCACTCTCATTGTTCTGCCAAAGACTGTGGAACATC